CAACCACTGCCACACACACACAAACCCCCCGCGGCCCATCTCAGAACCAGCACATGCACAGATCATCATGCGGTGGTGGGAAAAGTTAACTCTTCATGACTGAACACTTTTTAGTCAGGTGCAGGGTTGTGTTTGATCATTGCTCAGTCTGTCCTCTAACTTGCAGCACACACACAGAGACAAGGGATTGCTTGCTGATGTGATCGGAGTTGACAGAAAAAATAGTATTTATGGATTATTATTGTTTGTAGTATTTTTAATCTCGGCCAATAAAGCTCAACAAAACAACCTGGGCCTGTAGCTTTGACAGCAGCATGCTGTTAACTTTTAGTTTCCAGTGTCTGAGTTTTAATGGGGTGAGTGAAAACAAGTGCACTTCACGCTCCTTTGTGAGCGCTACACTTGTTTCACTTTGGCCGGAGCAGCTGAGGTATGTGACGAAACTGCCTCAGCTGACCAGGCTGACCGCGGCCAAGAGAAAGGCTTACTTAGAAGTAAAGCTGCTAATCTTCCACTTAGCTGGTTAGGGTGGCCTGTCATGTAGTAAGACAGAGAGAAGGTGGTTAGATAGGGTTAACTTTAGATGAGGGTGGTACTGTGATTGGGTAACTGGATGAAGAATTGATGAGGGGTGAAGAATGCAAACAGGCAATGCTTGATTTGATGGGAGGGATAGCTGTGGGTGCTAGGTTGAAGGGAACAAGTGGACTAAGGGTGAATGAGGGTTGGCTCAGGCATAGATGGTTTATGGATGGAGGGTAATTCAAGAAGAGGGACTTCATGATGGTTTAAAAGACTAATGATTGTGAGGGCAAGGTTATGACAACAATACAAATGAACTAGGACAAGACATTCAACATCACATTGCATAAAAGAGATGGGATGAGGCACAACATTAAAACCACTCGCCCAATATTGTCTCATTTTTTCTCGTGCTGATAAAAAAAGCAGTGTTCAGTCATCGATCTAAGGAATATCCCCTGGTGTCTGGAACTGGGATGTTTGGAGGGCATCCTTGTTTGCTGTGGTGGCATCTTGGGATTGAATTCAGAGGTTTCAGGAGTCGGGTCAGTTCATACCTTAAGTCAGGGATTCCAGACTAGAAATGCTGCTCTAGTCAATGAAAGAAATGTGTCACTGTTTGGGCTTAACCTGTAAGAAATAAATAAAAAATGTTGTTAGCTCGTTGACCAAACTGCCCTGTAATTATAAAACTGAAACAGAAAATATCATTTTATTTTGGACATATTGTAAAAAAAATAGAAATTTCTGTAGTTTTATAATGACACTTCTGGCTTCCGCTTTAAAGGATTGTTTTATCCAATTGAAAAATAAGGAAGTGATATGATAAGGTGTGATATGAATGGGAGGACTTCATCAGAAAAAGCTGGAAAACTTATTAAAAATACATTTAAAAACCCAAAAATTTAAGCCCTCCTTCACAATTTGTAAAGTCATCCAGTGGACCAGACTGGACTCTTTGTCGGGCTGATTCTGGTCCCCAGGCCTTATTTTTGACACCTCTGCCTTAAGTGTTCCCTGAGCCATTCCTGTCTAATTAGTATGGTTGGAGTGTGCTGTTGGTTCAGCAGCCTGAAATGACATGATGAAGGTTATCCACTTCACCTATCAATCAGTATACATTACATCACATTAATAAAATTGCATTACATTGTATAATATCACATGATACATCACTATGGCACTGATTACATTATATATAAGATCAAATAACATCCTGACATTGTAGGCCCAAGTTTAAATCAGATCATATATGATCACATTTAATTATGACTCAGTGAGATCACGTGTGAGAACCAATATATAACACAGATAGAAAGCAGGACCTCGCTGACATATGCAATATGAAAATAAAAGAGCAGCTTCCAGTCAGCGATGGCTGTTTCACAAACTGTATCCTGGTTACAGATGCTTCATGTCACCTGAGGCCTAACCTGGCACCACAGGAAGCCATTTTTTTCCATTATGTCTTCCTGTAGAGCAGCCCAAACCTTGCTCATATATTAAGCTGATATGAAGAGATTACTAATGAGTGACAGAGACCTAACAAGCAAATTAAAAAAAACAACAACAATAAAAAAACTGTTTTAGCACACAAAACCTGTGATGAATTCTGTGCGTCCTAAATCAGATCCTTGTCTTTGAAATGTTTATTTATTGAATCGTTCTCTCGTCCGAACATTTCAAGACATCCAGGAGGGTATTAATGGGCCACGCTGTTGTGATTCAACCAATGACGAGAACGGCGGGGAAACACTACACAGAGAGCGCCACTGGCAGCATGAATAAAAGGCAGGCAATGCGCGCAGGAGGGGAGGTCCGAGGCCCCGGGTAGGCTACGGGAAAAGGAGGTAGAGGCGGAGTCTGTCTGTGAGCGTATATGCATCTGTGCGCTTCCTCGCTCACCCCTCCTCTTTTTTTCTTTTTTAAACCACCCCACCCCCACCTCTGCTGCCCCCTCCCCCCTTCACCCCCCTTCCCCTCTCCCCGACCCCTCCTCCTCCTCCTCCCCTCCTCCCATCGTGCTTGCCCGCCCCTGAGTCTGAATAGCCATGCATGACAACAAACACCAAACCTTTCTGTGGCCGAAGAGCTCTGGGAGTCGTTTCCTCCCCGCCGTGATGGAGCGATGCGAGGAATGAGGGCGGATGGTGAGAGTCTGGAGCAGCAGCAGCAGCAGCAGTGGAGCTTCACTGCCTCTCCTCGCCTCACAGTGCGGGAATATACCAGCGGAGAGCAGAATGGATACGGAAGGGAGCCAGAGCAGCCTGTCCTCCGGCACGGACAACTCCCCCCACGACCCCTGGTAACAGCCCGAGTCCGTGCGCCCGTGTTTCGCTCGCCTCTCGGCCCGGTTTGAGTTCACCTTGGACTTAAGTTGAGTTCAGTGCGGGGAGCGAAGCCGCGCCGAGACAAAAGACAAGCACGCTGTGTGTGTTGTGTGTATGTGTGTGTGTGTGTGTGTGTGTCTCTCTCTCTATGTGTGGGATGGATAGACTCAGCGGAGGAGACGCAGACGCACCGCTTGCTTTCCGCCTGTTATTTCTCTCTCCCTCCCCTCCTCTTGTTTGTTTATTTTTCTCGCTTTTCCACCAGAAGGCCACATTGTAACTTCTCTTCCATCATCTGGAAAATCCTCTCCTTTTTTTCCTCCTCCTCCTCCTCTAGGGGATTATAACGGCCCGACTGGCCGATTGGTGACTTCGCAACATGGCCGATGCTTTCTTCTTACTTTATTGATGCTATATTACGCACAGATCCTCCAGATCCCCCCCTTCACTCCACGAATGTGCATGTGTTGTGCTTAAAAGACGCTTTGAGAAAAAAATCTGTGACTTACAGCTTCTGTTTCTCTCATTCAGCAAAATGTTCATCGGGGGTCTGAGTTGGCAGACAACACAAGGTGAGCTGTCCCGCACGCTACTTTAATAAGTCTGGATGAAAGCCTCCTGTTTACTCCTTTTAAAATATAACGTTTGCTCTAATAATAGCTGTGGCGATAACCTGCGAGGCTTCTTGAAGTTTTAAGGAGAAACGCGGTGAACAGTTCAAATCAAAGCCTCCTATTCATTAAGGATCAAGCTCTAGGTTTAGAGTCGGGAGACGCAGGAGATTAATCGTGCGCACACGACGACTTGTCTGCCTTCCTATCCTGTGCACTCGTTACACTCTTAATAACCCGAGGAGGGCATTCAGAGTAGAAAAAAGGAAAAAAACACTAAAGTGATCGATTAATCAGCGTTAAAGCTGGAAGTTGGGCTCGTCATCATGGGCCACGCTAGTGTTGTTGTTTTCCTTATTGGTAGCACTCCGCTCAATTCATTCATTTATTCGAAGAGCCGTGAGCGCAGGCTGACGCACGGGCACAGTTTAGTCTTGTTGCGACGGCCCGTGTTATTATCTCCACTGCTGCTGCTTCTGCTGCTGCTGTGTCAAAACAGCGAGCGTCACCAAGTGTGTAGCTTTGTTTGTGGTCCGCAGGGCCTAATGGGGCTGGTTGTGCTGAATGGCCAAAGAGAGCCCGGTGTATAAACCTCGTCAGGACACACGCACACAAACACAACGTGGTCCGCCCGACCCCCATTGTCTCGCTTCAGCCACTGCACAGCACACCAGGGCCCTGTTTAGAGAGAAGTCCTTCTCTCATTCCCTTCCCCTTTAACAGTGTCTCCCCGGTGTCTTTGCAGAGGGCTTGAAGGAGTACTTCTGCAAATTCGGCGAGGTGAAGGAGTGCATGGTGATGCGGGATCCCGTTACCAAGCGGTCGAGGTAAGAAGGAGGCGTGTGCGCTCCGCCGTCCTATCACCGGATGCCTCATGCTCTTCCATGCTTTTCCATGAGAGCTGTCGTGAGTTTGCATTCTGATTTTGTCACTTGCGTGTGCTTTCTCCCCCCCCCCCCCCCCCCCCCGCGTTTTACAGAGGGTTCGGCTTTGTAACATACACAGAACAAGCCGGTGTGGAAAAGGTTTTGGCACAAAACAGACACGAGCTGGATTCTAAAACGGTGAGTTCTTAAACTTTTGAAGTGGATGGTACAACTTGGGCAACTTTTCTTACTCTGGGAGTGTGTAGCCTGTTTCTTTCCCCCCCCCCCCACCCCTTCTCTCTCTCTCTGGGTGCATTTTACCTCCAACCCTATGGCTTGTAAAGTTGAGGAGTGCATTTTGGAGCCCACACCCCTCCTCCTCCTCTCCTCTTTTGCTCATTTCCCCCTCCAAATCCTGGTTCAGGGCGCCAACATGAAAGCGTTCTTTCTTGGTCTTCATTGCCATGGTTACCTGGGGACCTGAATGGGGTAGGAGCCCCTTTGCAAAAACCCTCACAGGTTTTTATGCACAGTAGAGAGTTCACAAGTTTTTCCCCTTCTTCTTTTTTTCATAGGAAATAGCAAGTGATAAGCTTTTTTTAGTGGCAGCTCTCAGAGTTTTTGGGGGGTGGCAAGAATTGTGGGAGTGGATTCCAAAACTGATGGCAGGGAGAAGGAAGACTGTGGGGTCAGAGCAGCTGAATTTAAATAGTGATGTAACTCCGAGATTTGTGAGTGTGTGTCTCTGTGATTTCCCCCTCCTACACTGCTTAAACATGAACAAACAAATGTGGGCAAATTTCACAAACCACTCACCAAACCAGAGGACAGGCAGCACCCTTGTGTTCAGGTAATTCATATTTTTGCGAGAGACAGTGACTTGGGCACGAGTGCGAATCTCTTTGGTTTGTTTTGGTGAGAATCCGAGGCCCACATTTGAATATCTATTAAAGTGTGAATGCCTCTGTCTTGGTAATGCAGATTGGTTGTAGGATTGGGGACTGGGTGTGTCTTTGTCAGCTTGTTGTCTTTCCTAACCACACACACAATAGGATCATTTGAGAGTGAAAATCGGTGGCACAGAAAGTCAGCAGGGCCCAGGGGCAGAGGAAAGGTAGAGTTGGTTAGTTTGTTGGAGCAGGCCTGTTGCTGGGGGTGACGCCAGCCTCAGGAGACGGTGCTGTAACTGCACAGCCCAGTGGGATTTATGTCTCCATAACAACTTCTCAGCTATTTTGCATTGACTTAAGATTTGGTTGATTGGGTGGCACAAAGATAGTGTCAAGTTTTGTCGGGCATTTATAAGTACGCAAGATTATGATATCATGTTTGTTTTTTTAAGTGAGACTCTTCATAATTTAGAAAGTTTAAAGATGCAGTTTCGTGAAATAATCAGACCTTCAAGCACCACCGCTGGAGGTCCTGATATTTATTACAAAATGAGCGCTGCTGCTGGTAATCTCTCCATATATATTTTTTTATTATTCCTTTTTCACCTTGCTTGGAAGTAGGTTCTAAGAAGCTGCAAAATATTACTCAGTGAGTCATGTTACCTCTTAAAACTAGGTGCTGCCAGAGCCTTTGAGAGCCAGACCCTCTGTATTTGTGTGTGTGTGGGATGTGAACGCTGGTTTTGGACGCCTCTGGTAGCTCAGCTTGGCAGGCCACTGGTGGGGTTAGGCGTTGCCCTATTATAAACCAAAATACGGCATAAGGCTAAACAATAATAATGTTAATGACTCAAATGCAAGGCTGGGTTGCTCAGGTTGTTGTGGCAGCAGTCTGCGGGGGGAAGCGTGCCATGGTACCATTTATCCAACAAGGCGTTTTAAATGGGGGGTATGGTTGCCATTTTGTTGTTCCGTTTTGGAAATTTGAGCCCAGAATTTATTTGTTGCAAATCTCATATTTGCCAAATTGGGATGTATTTTTTTTTCTTGCCTTGCTTGTAGCTTAATTCTCGAAACGCTACACAAAACATATTTGAGAGAACGTTTTTGCATCACACCTGGAGTCTCCCTCTCCACAGTATTGTTTGATCAGCCTGAGACGTGAAAGAGGCATTCCTCACAGGCACGAGGAAGAATATTTGATGCTGTGATGTGTATGCCTTGTTATGCTGAGCTTTGGTTTGCGAGAAAATATGTGAAAGGCATGAAGCGGAGACGGGCGATGGTGTGAAAAGGAGAAAATGAACAGGGTGAGAAGTCAGGTGCAAACTAACCGGTGCAAGGTCCACGCTGCTTGGTTAGAAGCGGTATTAAACATTTACAGTCCTGTTACATCGTGCTAGCTGCCCTCGGAAAATGAAAGTCACAGGTTAAAATATGAAGTGAACTGTTGTAATTGTTCAGTTATAATGCAATAAGGCTGTCTGTTGTGTTCAGTGAGAGGGTCTGTCGAGGTTGTTGTTTTGGTTCGAGGTTAGATTTCCTGTCGGGGGCAGAGTGTGGCCTCGGGGCATTGGTGTGCTGCTGTATTTCCCTGGCCGGAGAAGAAGGGCACAACTGGTATTTGTTTTCTTGGAGAAAATGCTTCACTGGAACCGGTTACGGGAAGAAGTAAAAGATGAGGCCAGATATTCTCTGAAAAGAGACCACTTCTCGCTCCCTCTGTGCGGTGATTTCAGATTTTTAAAAAACTGTGGTGAATTATGGTTTTTGGTGATTAGTGTGATTATTTGGCATTTGCTATTTCTTCACAGGGAACTCTGTCTCTCAAAACGACCCCCTAAAAAGCCCAGTGTAGTGCTGAATACAGGTTACTGAAAACATTTTTAATAGAAGGCACAGACAGATAAGAAACACACTGATTATTTTTATTTTATGTGATTTGTTTTTAGCGCAAGTAAGCTGGAATGTCCTTTTCAAGGTGTTTTATATAGTAGGTGGAAATTGCTGCTTTTAGCGCGACTTGTCTGCGAGGCTAAAGAAGTCGTCAGCATTGTGCTAATATAGCCGCTTTCATCTGTAGCCCATGACATATGTTAGCAGCAGCCACTGTGGGCCACAGGCCCCATAGTCTGCAGTTGCTAGTGGTCTAACACCTGGTTAGTGGAGAGTTTAAATGCCAGGATGGGCTGCTCGCTCCTGATTGGAAGATTAGCTGTTAATGCTGACGTGCACGAAACAAGGAGAAGGGGGATGGAGAAGGTGAAGAATAGGAGAGAAGGGAAGGCACTGTGCTGTAATTAGTATGGATCTGTAAAGCAACTAATCGGATTGAATGAAACAAACTGGATTGGGCTCCTGAGGTCCGTGCACGACATCAGATCCGGGATAAAGCTTGGAGCAGCTCTGAAGGTGGAGCGAGAGAGCTCTCTTGTCACGTTAAATGTACACAAACCCCCACCCCCCACCCCACCCCAACAGTAAACACAACCGAGCACAGCAGCCACACGGGTTAGGCGCTCACATAGAGGGTTACAAGCAGTAGGGACGGGGTCAGGTTGGAGGTCCTCATTAGTGAGCTTCGTTAACTAATTACTGTGCCATTCTTCAGCTGTGCAGATTGACCCGGCTGGCCTGAGCCCAAACCAAGTCTCCCTCTTACACTGTGTGCATGTATTGACATGTCAGCCCCTTTCGTGTCCTTGGGTGTTTATAGCTTTTTGTTAAGCTCATATTGATTATTTTGTCATAATGACGGTAGCCCGTGGTGTCTTTTTATCAACGTGGTGGCCCTTTTCTTGCGAGAATGTCTTGGAAACTCGGCCAGTGTATCAGAGCTTGAATGTCTGTGTGTATATGCTTGTGTTTTCACCTATGAACTTTGCACGTATGTCACTTTGTATCCTCGTGTTAGCGTTTCCACTCTCGCTGCATTGTTTGGGTGCTTGTGAATGTGTGTGTGTAAGTGTATATGTATGTGTGCCTGTGGGGGTAGCACGGGAGCCCCAGTTCCTCTACGGGCCCATCTGTTTTGTACTCTTTGTCCTGTTAATTAATGAAATCAGAGGGGCTGCCTGCTGGGACTGCCCCACTACACCACCACACTGGACAGGCCCGCTTTCTCATGGGCTGACTCTGTTTTCCAAATGAATGCCTTCTCTTTCTCTCTGTGCTCTCTCACCTTTACACGTACGCATCTACTGGTTTGGCATTTTTTAAATTTTTTTTCAAAATTTATTTATGCTTTGATTTTTGTTTTCCAGTTTGTAACACTGGTGGACACGCCGCGCCCTGCGAGGTGACTATTGGTCGTAGATTAGAGTAGTCTTAAAAGCTAAAACCACTAAAATCATACTGCAGGCTCTGCTGTCACTATGCTGCTTAGAATGAGCGGAGGTTGGATGTCATGAAGCAGGATGTTAGACCAGTTCATGAACACTCAGTTATAACTCTTGTCTGTCAAGTCTGGGAAAAGCACCTTTTTTTTTTCTTTCTAGAAAGGTTTTCACATTTTTCTTGAGTAGTTACGCTTTCACCAGTATGATTGGGAACGCTACGTGGCCGAGCTTCTTTTCAAATGTCAAGCCACCGAAGAGCTATTTCTGAGTGTTGCAAACAGTGACCTGGCTAAGTCATTTCACTTTTTGCTTTGTGGCCTATCTGTCTTCCTTGAGGCTAATCCGCCACTCTGATAGATGCTTTAGTTTTCATTTTTATTATTGCCTCCCTCTGAGTACTGCCAGATGTAGAAATTACATGTTAGATATTTTCTGTTACTTCACTGAAGTGGAACGGTTTTTTTTAACAGCATGGCATGACAGTAGCTGTAGTAGCACTGCTACAGATATTACATTAGGCCTAACGTAGCCTAGCTGGTAACCTTCAGTATTTTGAAGAGCTTCTGATAATTTACTAGCTGTAACAATACTGTTAATTTGTAAAAATGTGAAGTATGATGGGTAATCTGATCCTAAAATTTATTAGCAAGCCTGCTACATCAGTGTGATCACATATCTTGATTTCTTAGGTATTTAATTAGCCCATAAAAAATCATAATTTGTGTCCCGTCTTCCACCCCTCACCCCCAATTGGTCGCGTCAGATAATTGCCCCTTCTAGAGCCTGGTTCTGCTGGAGGCTTCTTCCTGTTAAAAGGGAGTTTTTCCTTCCCACTGTCAACAAGTGCTTGCTCATAGGTGCGAGGGTCCTCTTGGCGATTTCTCTCTATTATTTTACATCATAAAGTAATTTGAGATGACTGTAATGGTGATTTGGTGCTATGTAAATACAGTTGAATTGAATTGAGTCATGCAAACATACTGATTTCACACTTCTTAAAAGAAAGGCGGTTTCCGAGAAAACTTAACTAATCAACATGCTGCTGGATGAATAAAAAAAAAAGACTTGGACATTAGTGCTTGTTTACAACTAGCTTATAGAAACTGATGTTTTTTTCTTTGTGTGTTTACAATGGTGATAACAATGGACAATGTGGCTCGTGTTAGATGTCTGACCGCTGTCATTCTCAGCTCATGCTCTGCCACATGATCGCCTCAAGGCAGCTCCTGCCCTCTTGTCGCGTTAAAACAGTACAAGGCAGGTGGGCTGAACAGAAAGCCCGAGGCAGTGACCTCTCAGTACTTCAGTGCCAAGAGGAACAACGGACATTTTGCCCACGTACGCCAACCGGTGATGTCATTAGGATGTTACAGACGCTTGGAGTTGTTTAATTGTGATAATTATATTGCGCTGTAATATAAATGAGTTTCTTTCCAGTAGTACAGTTGTACTATAACTCTATTGTTTTTAGTAAACAGTGAAACTAGTGTGTAGAAATTGATGCATCTGAGTTTGCAGTATTTGGGCTGGAATGATGTGAAGAAAAGCTTTGATATTAACTCTAAGTTTATACATATCGTCTCTCATTAAATACATTTCAAACATAGACGCCACAAAAACGATGTTTAATTATTTTAAAAACATTTTTATTGAACAAGGTCAAATGCTGCCATGCTGGGTGTGAATGCGCGGTGTGAGTAAAAGGAATTCTCTTACTCATGTTCATCGTGCTTGATCATGGCAGTGACCCGATGTTCAGTTTATAAGTCAGTATTATTTGTGACACATTTAAATAAAAATGGCTAAAAAAGCTGAATCATGTAGCCGGCAAACGCACACATCTGTAACACTGTAATGTCACATTTGGTCCACACTGACACAGAAATGCTGTGTTGTCATTGTCTGTGAGCGCGCTCGGTTGTAGCGGATAGTCGCTGGTGGCTTCGTGCGTCCTTGTCACCTTAGTCTTTGTGCGCTGACCAGCTGGAGGTGACATGGCTCTTCTCATCTTTGTGTCCCACTTTAAGGTGTAAAGTCCCTCTGCAATCCCTTCCAAGGACGCTGCAGCTGCATCTTAGTTACACAGCGCTGTGCTCTCGAAGCGGCGGCAAATGTGAAGCACTTAAAGGTCCTCGAAGGATATATGTGTCAGTAGATTTGTCATCAGAAGCAGGGAATTATCACAGGGGCGAGATGAAAGGATTGTTTGAATATTGAACGAACACCCTCCTTTGTGTCGTGCGTATTGTTCACATTAGAACTAATTATTTTAAGCTATTTCACAGGGCACTTTTTACTGCCAATATCAATTCAATACCTCTGATAGCGGCTGTGGGAGACACGAGGGGTTTCGCTTCACACATCCAATTATTAGAACAAAGATGAAACTCTAAGACCATAATACACTACAAGGTCCTGTGACCTAAAAATCATCTCACTCGTCGGTTTGAGTGAGAATAACACGAGATTCCGCACAAATTTAAAATGCCAGGCCGAGCTTTGCATATTTAGCATTATTAAAGGCCAGCTCATTCAAAGCTCATTTACTTCTAATTTTATCTGTAACCTTGACCAATGCTGAGACATTCCAGTGGGGAGGAATATGGATACAGTCAAATCGAGCTAATCCAAAATGGAGCTTGTCAGGATTTGTGAGATTTAGAAAAAAAAAAATCTATGTGTGATATATTCAGAATCTTAGATGCTCATTTTGGATTCAAGACTGCCCCGCTCTGTGTAGTTTGTGGCGAAGATGCATTTAGTTGTGTCTCAACACACAATTCAGAGAAAGTACATATTCCTGTCTCACTGTGTATTTTGTTCCCTATGCGTGTTTGTTTAGCTGCCGTGTTTGGATTTTCGGGGGCTTGCATAAACAAGGGTCTACTATACATATTCGCGGATTAGCATACGATCTATTTCTGGACCTGTAGTCCAGACTTAGAGGCTCTGTGTTGTAACAAATTCTAGTTAGTTAACAGGGTGATAATTCATTGACGTGCGCAGTGGTTTTTTGAACAGGAACTTTTGAGCAACAAAACCAGAGCAGGTAGAGATTCGGTATCATTGCTGGGGAAAAAAAAAAAAAAAATCAAATGTCAGATATATTTTAATATCGCTTTCCTATATATATATATAATGTGCATTTCCAGTCCCCCAACCATTCAATGACACGTTTGAGGCTGGATAACTTGTGTTTATGGTTGCCAGCGATCCAAACTTGCTTATGCCGTGTCTGTTATTAGTATGATGGTACTTCCTTTGTAGCCTTACTGCTCCCAAATCCTTAATAAGTCTGTTATTGGAACAGAGTGTGAATTAGACATCTCTGTGGTCTAATTGACCCCAAACATAATAGTACGGAGCAGAACATGTAGTAACGTGTAGAAGGTGTGCAGCTTGTAAATTTCTTTTTGGCAAATGTAGTTGATTATATGTTTCCTGATGACCAGTCGTAGATTATTTATGCATTTGCTGCCTGTTTCTGTTACAACAGAAAGAGCACAGCATTGATATCTATATATATATTTTTTTATAAGCAAATCAAATGTATTGATTTATCACTTAAAAAACGACAACAAAAACTCATCATGACTCATCTTTTCCCTACAGATCGACCCAAAGGTGGCGTTTCCCCGCCGGGCTCAGCCCAAGGTGAGTGCACCCTGAAGGAGTTAACAGCAAGGAGGAGTGGAGATGATGTCATGTGTCACCCCTAATAAGGGAGCCCTGGTTGGCTGGGATTACAGTCAGGCACATGATCTAATTGGAGCTACAATCCACTTGTCCAGCCTGACACCATGACCCTGTGTACACAGGCTCCTGCACTGCCGCCTGTATACGTGCACACACGCACACACATGCATTTTCTGGCTCACACCTAAATGGATGCTTGCGCCGATTATTCACCTGCACACATGCTGCTCGCATGCACACGCCTCAGAGGCCTTAAATTGACATCAATTAGTCTGAATTCCAAGAAGAGCTTTAAGCAACCTTTGAGATTAGACAAACGCCAACCAACACAAAGTGTCTTTATCGCAGGCAGCTAGCACAGACCTAATGTTATTAGTGATAAAAGATACCTTCTTCTTCTTTTCCTTCTGCGCTGTTAGCTGGTGACCAGGACAAAGAAGATCTTTGTCGGAGGACTGTCAGTCAATACCACCATCGAAGATGTGAAGCAATATTTCGACCAGTTTGGAAAGGTAAAAAAAAGCACAAACCTACTAAATACTTGCAACCATCATGCTTAAGCCTTCACTCTGAAAAGCTGTCTTTCAGCTGGACTGCTGCTGCTCAACCTTGGTCTGACCTTGACTTACCCTTCACAGATAATACCCATCATATTAGATATATGAGCATTTTAGTGGTTTTTAAGTGGCAGTTGATAGATAGATATGTTGCAAAGCTATATTGCATCAATAAAGGGACAACAAATATCAATTTTTTAATAAATCATTATCATCTCACCTGATAATAGGGGGCAACCTTTTTGCAAGCAGTTGCACTCTGACTGGGACTGACTGGAATCACTCTCAGAGAGGTTTTTAGACATTTGCAGATAATTGCTATTTAATTTATAAATATAGACAGATTGCGTCGACTCAACTGGCTGCCAGCTGTTTGTATTCTGCAGAACAGGAAGGCTGCTGAGCACAAATGTAATGGTTAAGTGTGTGCAGGCAGCAGACGATATGTGATTTTTTTTTAAATTTATCACAGTTTATTGCTGTTTTATCAGAAACAGATTGTATATAACTGCAACAATATGACTTATGGCAACATTTGTGGCAGGTTTAAGTGACGGTGTTGGTGTGCTTGACATTAATAACTGAAGTGAGATAACTTTATCTTATTGGATAAAACAGATATTGGCTGTCTTGAGGACATAATTTGTAGTTGAAAAAAGGGTGATAAATCACAATATATGTTACTACAAAAGCTTAATATCTTATCGTGAGTGAGATATTGTGATAGTATTGTATCGTGTGGGTGTGTGGTGTTTACATCCTCTACTTTTAACCCAGATTTCTTAAGGTGGATGCTAATATTTTGTCAGCATTTGGCTGCTTGCAGCTCCTCTCTTAGTTTTAAGGAAGAATTAGCTTTTCGATTAGCCTAACAGTTCACCCATTAGCCAACAGTTTAAACTTTTTATAATTTATGAGCGTTAAGGTGTTTCATCTATTTTGAGTTCACAATTTAATAAAGTACAGAAACATTTCAATCAGTTATTTTTGAAGTGAATCATTTTTCAGTGGTTTTCAAGCTTACTGTTAGCTTCTAACAAGTTTTCACACTATAAGTGGGGAATTGTTGTGTTCAGGTGTTACAGTGCTTTGATCAAATTACTTGATAAAAATTGTATCAAATTACTTCAGCTTGCCCGCAATCTGTCCGTGTACCTTCTGGTAGCTGCATAAGCACACCCTGGGGTACCTCTGGTTGGGCTTGGCTGCTCTAATGGACTGCATGCCTTTGATAGATTATATTCATCTACTGACTCTGTCCAGCTAAAAGTTTTTTTTTAACTTTCCTTTTAAACTTTTTTTTCCACAGAGAAAAAAACAAACTTTTATGGCTTTTGTTTTAAGCATGTTTGTTTTTCGGTTCAAGTCGAGACACCTTAAAAAGAGAAAGCAGACCTATTTTAGGAGAAAAAGTGAAACGAAGGCACGCAGTGAAAGTGAAAGAAACAAATGCTGCGCTGTTATACATCCTTTTAACCTTAGCTAGCTTCTTCAGAAGTCCTCAGAGTGGGTTTCTCTAAAGAGTGCAAATATCAAAGAGGGGAAACAAAGAAAATGCTGTGTGGTCATCGGTGGTTCTGCTCCGTCAGCTTTAGCATGACTTAGTTTGTTAGTTTATCTCTGTTGTTGGCTGTTTTTGCTCTTTTCTGATCACATATTAGCATTTCTGGCTTCTGCATTTGGCCTGCTTAGCTCTTTTGAAAGAAATTTGGTGAAAGGCAAACACATGCTGTGGAGACAGATGAGTGGCCGGGGGTAGAGGGAGGTTAAAAAAAAAAAAAGCAGGAGGGGAAGAGGGAGAGGGAGATGGCAGGGGACTGAAAGGGAAGAAGAAACCCCCCGTGGAGAGAGAGTGGGAGGGGAACTCAGAAAAAGGTTGAAGGGCAGAGGGAAGGAGGAATGCTGAGATAGTAGTGAGGGGCAAAAGTGATTATTAAAGGGGGGAAAAAAGGACCAATCTGATGAGAAATAAGTGTGTTAAATTATCCATAAAGCGTGGCATGTTGGGTTAGTTTTTAGCAAACTACTGTGTGCGCGAATGGAGATCAGCCTTTTCAGTATTAACTAATCAAATGCAACAGCTGCTCCTGTAACAGCCCCCCCCCACCTTACCCAAAATCAGTACTTCAGACACCCTCCCATCTCACACACACAAACACACACCCTGCTCTAGTCGCTCTCAGCTTGTTGCCGTGGTGACCTGCCTTCGCCCATTGTCCCGCTATAATCCAGTGCTTTTTTTGTGCGTTTCCTTTAAAAAAAAATGTGCGAGAAGTGTGTATTTGCATGAATGGAAAGACGGGCGTGCTCGTGAAAGTGTGACAGTGGCATCGTCGTGGATGCGAGCTTGCATGCATTTGTGCCCATGCAGACGGAGAGCGAGGCTCACAGCCGGCGATCCAGTTGTCACAAACATTAAGTGTGCGCCTCTGCCGCCGTTGGTGAGCAGGACAGTCTGAAAATGAGCATTGCTTCAGGATGTGGGCCTAATGGGTTGGAAGAAATTAACAGCACGAAGCTCCTTCTGCCTCGTGTCTGCCTGTGTTTTCTCTCAGTTGGCCTCTGACTCATGCTTGAGGTATTACTGCATTTCAGGTACTGGTTCAAATTTAAAGAACGCCGTTTAATTCCGGCCCGCGTGCTCACGGAAGACCTGGATTTGCGAGCGTGTGACCCGTGGCACCGATTCAGGTGGCTGTTGTGACATGTGACACGTTTCTCCTCGGTGCACTCGCTTAAAATGGCTGTTTGCAGTCTGTGTGCCGAATCATTTCTCCCCGGTGATTACAGACACTCATATCTAAGACAACACTCCCTCCGCAGGATGAGGGAATATTTGGACTGTTTGGACACGTGAGACCAAAGCTGTATCGTGGATAGCGGCGATCCCACAGTGCATTCCTGCTGAGCGGGAGGTATTTCTTGTTTATTATCTGAGCCTGGTTACAAGGTGCAGGTTTGGTTGGAGCAGGACTCAGTGTCCTGTTTATTTTCATACTGTGGTACCGCCTTGCAAGGAAAACACAGAATGCACTCTGCATTTTATGCAAGTCTTTGATATGTGCCGAAGTTGTTGTTGTTTTTTAGCAAGCCTCTAAGAACACCTAGATAAACTTCACTACTTGGACTAGGGTGGCTGCTCGGTTGTTGACGCGTCAGGTGTTCTGGGCTAACCTGAGGAGTCAGAGGCTTTTGCTTACATGTGATTTCCTAGTTGAAAAAAATCTGAGGGCCTCTTGCTAAATGTTCCCAGGCCAATGAGACTGCAGCAGCCATGTTTCGATTAGAAGTCTGAAATGAGGGTCTTGTAATTTCCCTCAAGCTCATGTGGCTCTTTTTTTTTTTTTTGGCCAAAGCTGAATATAAGATCTGTCCACACACAGAAGTGTGTTTAACATTTCAGGCATTAGCATTTCAGGCATTTTGGGCGTACAATCAGTTAGGTTTAATCCAAAGGAAATCTCTGTTTTCATGCCTGTTTACCCTGCCTCTCTGTATCCTACACGAAAAGCCCGATGATTTCAAATCTTCATTTTTAAGTAAACCCAGAGAGTAGGTTAGCAAGCAAACGAAGGAGCGGATAGGATGAAAAAAGCAGCATGGACAGGGCAGACGGGAAAAGTTGGGACTCCACTCACCCATGTGAGCTGGCGATTAGAAGGCTTGACTGAACACTTTGTCTGCTGGCCTGTTTAGAGAGAGATGGCCGGAGAGAGCGAGCGAGAATGAAACGAGGGAGGGAGATGTGAGGAGACGGCGGGGAAAAAAATGTGAATGCCACCTTTCATAATCTGGCAGAAAAGTGTAATGGACTTGTCAGCAAACACTTGTTCTTCAGTACAATAGCGGTACGCTTCACTAAAAAGCGGTTATTTTTAATGCCGCTCTCGGGAAGCAGCTCGAGATCTGGGCTGACCCTCGTTCTCTGTACATCTGAGAATGTCAGAACTATGAGAATATGACCTTAAGTTTACTTCGGCTCTGCATGCATGCTGAGTAGTTAGTGATAGAGCTGCTGCTAAGTCAATCTCAGAACTCACAGCTATCCAATCAGATTGTCTTACAGCACCCTGGGCAGTGGACATCGTGAGATCTTCTCCTTATTGGTTTTGGCAAAGGCGAGGGGGGCTGGTGTGTGGCCACAGTCTGCAGATCTTTCTGTTCTCATGGAGGACAATTAGCAGAACCATGTTTGCACTACTATACTGCTTATTATCTGTAATATTTTTCTGTTTCCAATACTTAAAATCTCCTCTGGCTGGCAGGGTTTGCTAATCTCTTCCAGAATAGATGTTGCTAATGCTAACAGGAGGACTAGCTGTGAGTGTAACTCTACTCTTATGATAACATGTTGGCCTGCAGCTGTCTACTTGCTGTCCTCTTCCCTGGCTCTCTGCTGTGTCATTGAGTCTGGATGACCGGAAGGCTGGAAGACATGAGGGGGAGAGGAAAGGAGAGGGGAAGGGAGGAGGAGGAGGGGGTTGCAGGATAAAAACTGAATGAAGGACAGCAAGACGAACACAGGGGGGAGCTCTGTGTGTGTTTGCGTGTGTGTGTCCCATGCTATATGTTAACAAGGATGAGAGTGAGGAGGGCTGTAGACGCAACCTTGATCCTCTTTGCATATATCATTTTTCACTTTCGTTGGTGCAAACACTTGCACAGGCTTGATCTCAATCAGACGAGAAGGCGTGCATGTGTGTTTTTCATCTGAGATACGTTTTAGAAATCAAATGACCTGCCTACCCAGAGGCCTCAGGCACTCAGGTTACACTGGTTTGGGTTTCAGCACGCGCTGCCTAATGAAAATAGCCATGTGGTAGGGCTTTGGCATATTATATCATCGTCCCCGATAATATGGTTATTTTTGCTGATATAAAAACATCATATCGCAATATCATACATGCTACAGCAACGCCATATGGTCCCCAGTACGAGCAGCAAGGAGACAGGCCCAGGCATGTCTGACAGCAAGAGCGGTAGCTAGAAAAGTAGCTGCTGCAGCACCCTCCAAGCAAAGCACGGTACTTTGAAAAAATGTGAGAAAATTTGACCCACTAAAGGTGGAAATAACAAACATGGCAAAAACACACCCTTGAGTACAAAGCAGGCTATGAAGCAGGAGATACTAGCAGCCCGTGATGTGGGACCCAACAGTAAACAAATGACTCAACCGAGCATGCTAGAGCACTCTCCATATGACAGGAAGAGCGAACGGCGGATGGAAATTACTGATGCGGTTACACGGTGTTAGAGCAGGGCTTTAAGCAGCTGATTAGAAAGCTCGACCCTGAGAAACAACAGGTAGAAAACACTTTCATCTTTATTGTGTGACAATACTGTGCAGGCTGCTGACAAGTTGCAAGGTTAAGTTACTGTAGTTACTGTTAAACTGAAGCACGACGCAGTTATTTTATAGTTTTACTTAAATGTCCCAGGGAAAGCACAACCTGGGCTAGTTTTGTGCTCACGTTTGAATTTCTGCTGTGTCACTGTATATACTGCTGTGTCACTACCATTGCACTGTAACGCTCCTGCAGCTGCTGCTGGCACCTTGTTTCAATAGATTCACACTTGTAATTAGGAAGTGTATCATCAGTGACAGCAGCTCATTGGAAAAGAAGGTTGGTAAATGCTCTTCATTTACTTACACTTACAAATGCTGCCGCCTGCAAGCTGCGAGCGTCGATACGACGTTCAGTCTTCTTTTTAAATATATTGTTGTTTTCTTGAAATAATCATGATATAATGTTGAAGCTGTCCATGCAGTCACGCTCATGTGTCTCTGTTGTTTTGCTACTAAAGACTGAAAATGTGAAAGTTTTTACTTCCACCTTGATCCCAGGCCTTGGCTTCTCCGTGTGTCTCCTTATGCCGTCAGAAGCTGCTAACTTTCCTGCCAGTGAAGGACGAAGCAGGGAGGGAATGGGATTAAAAAAAAAAAGGGGGGGAGGAGGTGGAATATGAATAGGGCAGTGGAGTGAGTGCAAAAAGGAAAGTGGAGGGAGAAGTAGAATAAAAGGAGAGCGTGTTGACAAAAACCTCAGCTCACTTCGTTCTCTACTCTATAATCCAGAATGCTCACTGGCAGGCTTCCTACCTGCCATCAAGACTTTTAACTTTTTTTCAATCTTTTTATTGCTGTTATTCATCACAGCATTATTTATCAGCCCTTCTTCTTTTCTCTCCAGCCATTGAAATGAGCTGGAGTGGGTGTATGTGCTTGTGGGGGCGGGGTGGGGGGTGAATTCTTCTAATTGAAATTCTTTGCATGGTCTCCATGGGAATGGTAAACTTTGCAGAGAGGGAAAGAAAGACAGCGAGGGTGAACAAACGAAAGCAAAAGAAGGGCGAGAGCGGGACAGAGTTTGTAAGAACTTGGGTGAAGGACGGAGGCAGAGCGAAGAATGGGGAACATTCAGCGCCTCTTTTTTACCGCTGATATATTGCATTTCATTTTATTTTTTTACACGGCGCCCTCTTTCCCCCTGTTTTCCCCGTCGCTCTCTTCCCCTCTCACCCTTCCATTCTTTTTTTCTTCTCTCCTTTGTCACCTGTCACCCCGCCCAAGTCTCTGCCCTCCACCCTCTCCATCTGTTTTCTCCTCTTACTCCGATGCTAAAGAGGGACAATGGCACCCCATGCTGTGTAATGATGTGCACGCGCGCGCGTGTTAAGATGTCCGAGCTCATCTATTCTGTGCTTTGTTCTCACAGGTCGATGATGCCATGCTCATGTTTGACAAAACAACCAACAGACATAGAGGTGCGTACCCAGAGTTATACTCAAATGTGCACCCGCCCGCATTATGTTGATACGCTTAAGTGGGACCACGATGGAGTCATTAGCTCTGGTGATCTAGCTAAAAAAAAATTCAAACAAACAAATTTTTCTTAACGTTGTCTTTCCTCGCTCTCGCCTACTTCTGTTTATACAAAGTCAGGATCTAAGTTAAGACAAGTGGGGAAGGGGGGAGAAAGAAAGGAGCAGGGTGGAGTTAGCCACGCCCTATCCCCCCTCTCCTCCATGATGCTAACACCTTAATTGACAAGCAAGACCTGTGAGGTTGGCCTCAGCTCTTTGGGTTGCACGTTACAAAAGGGAGACATTAAAGTGATCACATGTTTTCTGATGGCTGTGCTCGTTCTTCCATCTCATTATAACCACTCATATCCAGAGCCCGTGTAAAGGTGGAAAATTCAACATGCTTTCAAATGTTGCTCAAATGTTACAAGGGTTTCTTTAAGAGTTTTTCTCTCTCGCTCTTTTCCAGGTTTTGGTTTTGTTACCTTTGAGAATGAAGATGTGGTTGAGAAAGTGTGTGAGATCCACTTCCATGAGATCAACAACAAAATGGTACGGACGTGAGCTGTAAAAAATATTTAGAGCGTGGTTTACTCGGTGGTGTAGGGATTTGTTCCCAGTGTCCCAACTGCCAGACCGAATCATGTGGCGTAACTGTTGAGTGTCTTTATTTCAGTAGTTTTTTTTACTAACTCCCTGTTTTCTTTGCTTCAGGTGGAGTGCAAGAAAGCCCAGCCCAAGGAGGTGATGACGCCGACAGGCTCAGCCAGAGGCCGTTCCAGGGTGATGCCCTACGGGATGGACGCTTTTATGCTGGGCATTGGCATGTTAGGTAAAGTATTAAACAAACAGCAAATGCAGTATCTGAAAAAAATCACTGTTAATCAAGTGCTAGCACTGACTGACACCATTTTTCTTTACGAAGACAGAAATAACAGATTATGCAAGTATGTGTGTGTAGCTTAGTTTTAGATTGTACTTATTCTAAAAATACTCAAAAAAAGTAACAGGAGAATAAACTCACACATCTAGAATGTGGAAAAACACCGAAACAAGACATATTTCTGTATGTGTTGCTGATCAGAAATAACAGAAAAGGAACCAAATCACAATATTGACTCAAATTTCAGTAGTGCCTTGAAAATGTCTTCTGTGCATTAATTTAGCTGGGAATAGCTCAGCAATTTGAACGCATTTCTTAGGTTTCCTCATTCACACTGAAGGAGCTGCTTTAAAAATTAAGAAATGTCATATTGTAGGTGCACCCTCCGTTCAGAAATATTTAGGCTACGTAAGCTAAACGCCTGCTTTCAGTGACGTTATTCTCTGTGATGTATCGAATGTTTAGAGGTCACGGACTGAAGGGCTCCACACGCTGGAGTAAAAATACAGTATGAAGAGATCCTCATTGAGAAATCAAAACCGAGAGCTACATCAGCTGTAGTTTGTGGTTGTTTGATGCCCTCTACTGGCAAATTTCAGATTGTAATACATAATCTCAGTAAGGGCCTGTAAATGTCAGTGACTCATACTACTAGGTCTGGCTCATGTGTAATTCATCTCTAATGACCCCATTTCCCGCAGACGTTAAGCTAATGTGTATGCCTGGATCACCAAGTGTCCGGAGCTTCGCCTTAAATTTCAAAATATTCCGAGGTTGATTAAAATGAACCCCGGATGAGGGAAAGCAAAATCAAATAAATGACCTTAAATCACTCAGTAGTTAATAATAGCCATCTTTACTGTAACTCCTTCGTAGCTGCACTCTGTTGTACAAGAGCAGAGGAAATTAGCTTATAGGAGATCGCTTAGCTAACTGCCACTGCAGCAGGTGAATGTATGACTGCACTCTTGAGGTGGTTCCAAAAATAAACCTGGATAGATCAGATGGCCAGATCTGCCTGTGTGTACTCATCGTGATTTCTGCTCACACACCAAGCAGCCTCCCCTAAAACTCATTTTCTGAGTTCGCCATCATGCTCCTTTATACAGTCAATTAATCCTCTCTCTCTCTTTCTCTCTCCAACAGGCTACCCGGGTTTTCAGACTGCTACCTACACCAGCCGCAGTTACTCTGGTATCGCGCCCGGATACACCTACCAGTTCCCAGGTACGTCTGCATAAGCCACACAGCTCACTGACTCTCTTTAGGCCTGCAGACAGGGACAGAGTAAAGGCTAAAGGCTACAGGCTGCGGCATGCTGACAGTTTTTAACAGTGCGAGGCGAAACATGTATGAACAGCAACGGCCACGTGGCTAGAGGTTCATGTGCGCGCTCAGGTTCGCGTGTCATGCCGCCTTCATTTCAGCTGCAGCAAGTGTGATTTTAAAGTGCTCTTGTCTGTAACTTAAACCCTCTGCACTTTCTGAAACATTGTCTTCTGTTTCGAATGTTAGTTACTGATGTTTTTTGCCTTTCATTTGTGATATTAGACCTTCTTCCTCTTATATTCTTCTTTGTTTATTTGATCTGCTTATGTAAGCCCCATTCAATTGGCCGTATCGCCCCTCCTTTTCCTTTGCTCCCACCTTCCTGCCTGTCCTTACAGTAGGTTTTCTTTTTTTGTTTTGTTCTCTTTTGTTTTTACTTTCTGTGCTCGTGCATCTGTGTTGACATTGTCTCTGTGTGCGTGTGTGCCTTTGTAGTATGGCTGGTGGATGGCGACTATTTACAAAGACATTTTTCTCTCTCTGGATCTTCTCTGTTTCTAGAATTCCATTTAGAGAGGACCCCCCTCCTGACATCATCCCACCCTCCTGAGCTGGCAGGTGAGTGTTGCCGCAACCCCTCTGAGAACCTAAAAAGAAAACCCGAAGCTCTTTAGCAGCAGAAACCCAAGTTAAACCACGAAGACCATCTTTACTAAATGCAGTAACCCTGAATCACTGGGATACTTCTTCAAAAACAAAAGCAGCATAACCCAAAAAACAAACCTCTTTACTTTTACTTTTAAAATCAGATTTAGATTTAATTTTTGATTTAAGAAATAGTCCGCCTATGTACACGTGAGGCAATCCAGCAGCAGGTAGAAATAGGGTTCAAAGGTAATGCAAATGACCTTGTAAGACTTTTCAAGAATCAAACTTTAAGTAGTTTCTGTGAACATATTGGTTGTTTTTGCGAAGCTACTGTGGAGGTCGCCTTAAAATGTCTTTTTCCCTTAAGCACCATAAAATATGAACCCCCAGGTATTGGTTAGCACTGGTAAAGTAAGAAGGTTTCTGGCTCAGACCTCCTGGCCGGCTGGATTCTGTGCGGAGTTTGCATGCTGTCTCCTCCCACAGTCCAAAGACATGCATGTTAGGTTAATCTGTGATTGGCCATAGGTGTGAATGTAAAAGTGTGTGATTGTCTGTCTCTCTTTTCGAACCCACTGACCAGTGACCTACCCCGGGTCTACCATGCGTCTTGCCTAAACTCATCTTGGGTGGGCTACAGCCTCCCATCAACCTTCAACTGGATAAGCAGTTAAGGAAATTGATGGAGCTATTTATGGATGTACACTAAACGATCTAACGAGTTCCATTTTTCTTTGAAGACTACTTCTGACAGAGGTGACAAGATATGATGATATATTGGGCTAAAAGCTTTTAGGTTGCTCCTAACTCTGCCGGTAAATACTTTTAGCCTTTGGATGTGTTGTGCATGCAGCCGATCTACAAGCAGCTGCGCCTTTACACTGACATCTAGTGGCTCTGAGCTGTACTTACATTTTTACTTGGAAACGCCATCCTCTTTGATTTTAGCCATCATTTTGTATCTTATTTAATGCATCAAGCCAGATGCTATAGGATGTTGGATCATTAAACCTTACACCAGTGGTATTTAAATGACATGTCAGATCTCTGGGTCAGCTCTCTGTTCAGCCACACTGAGCTGTAGAGCATGACATACGTGTTGTGTGACAGTTTTGTTTGTTGTGTAATCCTCAGCCATTCCCCTGACTGCATACGGACCAATGGCAGCAGCTGCAGCAGCCGCCGCTGTAGTTAGAGGTATGTCCCTGTTTGTCTGCGAAAGAGTGTGAACAGCAGGAGTGTGTGCATGTTTACAAATTTGCATGCTCGCCTTACTCACAATGAGCGCGTGCGTGATGGCCTGGTTGGAGAAATAAAGGAATATTTTTAGACATGTGCATGTTTCTATGTGTGTGTGTGTGTGAGAGAGAAAACCCTCCAGTGTTTAAGACTGACTTGTCTCTCCTGCCTCTCAGGCTCCACCCCTTCACGCACAGCTGGCTTCCTGGGCACCAGCAGCCCTGGACCAATGGCTGACCTGTACGCTGCAGCCAATCAGGACTCAGGAGTCAGCAGCTACATCAGTGCAGCTAGCCCCGCCCCCAGCACAGGGTTCAGCCATGGTATAGGGGTAGGTCACATGCTCCCTTCCTCACCCACCAACTCAGACTTACATGCATGCATGAATGCACACGTGTGTTGACAAAGCTGCTAGAAGTGTATTCATCTTTGCCTCTATGTGTGTGTATGTGTGTGTCCTCAGGGTCCTCTGATTGCTACTGCCTTCACTAATGGCTACCACTGAGAAGTCTCAGGTCACCGAGGGATGGGAGGGCGTCTCCTCTGCTGATGAGCCAATCACAATGCTGACTGCCCACTGATGGCACAACCTGATTGGCCGGCCACCGGCTCTTTACCGGGCTCTCCTGGCTCCATATGGCTCCGCCCACCGACTGAATATCTTTTTAAATCCAGAACTCTTGTTTCTGCTGTACTAATCTCACTTCAACATAACTTCCCTGTTTTCTCCTCTTTTGTCCTCATCATGTAGTCTAATAACTAGAGCCCACCCCCTTTCCCCCCTCAGTTATCCATTTTTTTCCTTTTGAAGCTGAGAAAAAGAAACTGCAAAAAAAAAAAAAAAAAAAAAAAAAATCTCCGAGGAAACATTTGTCATCGTTGACAAAGACACAGACAACTATTTTGAGTTTTTATTATCGTCATTTTAAACTTCACTTCCATCGTGAATCCTTCCCAGCTGTCGTGCTGATGTTAACAGAAGCAGAAAGAAGGCAAAAAAAAGAAAGCTGTGCGAGATGAGATGGGTCTCAAAGCCGTTTTTAACAAAGGAAGAACAAATCCAACACAGTCCTTTTTTTAACTCGAGTCTCACGGAAACATGGAGGGAAAAACAAACAAACAACAACAACAAAAGTTAAATGTATATTTTGGTAGTCTCTAAAAACAAACAAAAAAAAAAACCTTTGTAATATTGTTATTAATATTGACATAATAATCTGTAAGGTATTTTATTCTGTAATTGGTTTTAAAGCAATGTTTTTATGTCTTCCTGTAAAATATTGTAAATAGACATTGGGTGAGGTAGGGTGGGTGTGGGATGGGTGTGGGAGGGAGGGGTCACTGAACCGGCTGGCATGTCATTGGTTGGTTTGGAAAAGGGTTAACAGCAATTTGACTGGATGTCATTTACTACTCTCTGCGGTCATCTCACTACTTTTATGGGTATGCATACGCCATTATGTGTACACTGTGGGGCAGTCCACTCTAGCGTCACTTCAGCGCAACGCTATCCAGGATAGCTGTTGGCGAATAAACTTCCAGGAGCTTGTCTGACATATTTTTTTCAGTTGACACTTTTTTGTTTGTTTGTTACCAGGTCATATTTTTGTTTGTTTGATTTAAGTCTTTCAAAAAAAAAAAGAGAGAGAAAAAAATAAGCGAATTTGTCTCTTGCGTCTTCGTGGAAAACAGTTTATGAAACCACGATGGGACTTTGGATGATTAACAACTTTAAAACAGGAGAAATAAGGGGTTTCTGCCGATTCGGGACTTGACTTCACTTCCTGATTTTTGAAAATATTATATATATATTTTTTTGCGCGTTTCTCTTCTTAATGTTTTTGTTTATTTTATTTCTTTTAAGAAAATTCTTTTATGCGGTGTTCCCCACCGTGACAAACAAATGAAGGACATTCTCAGAGAAGCAGTTGTAGAAAAATCACGATCATGTTCTTTCCTCTTATCACTATTGAAGGTGCATGTGATTGCGTCTGCGTGTGTGCGTGCGTGCGTGCGAGTGAGTGTTTGTGCGCATACATCAAGGTGTAATATGGAACTACTTTCGTCAGCGAAGGAGCGTTTTGATTGCCTTTTTTTCCTTTGGTACTGAAAAAAAAAAACCAGAACGTTTGCCCTGCTCCATTTGGGTTCATTGCTCTTCTCCCCCCTGACTCTCTCCCATTCCACACTTCGTTTTAATAAATTTGTGCACCTCTGGAACCAACAGATAACTGTTTATATATAGTTGCTGCTCAGTGTGGTGGTGAACAGACAGGGTTTTGGGCAGGGAACCAGAAATGGAACAGGGTCTCGCTCCCAGTCGGCTCTGATACGGGGGCCTCAGTACAAGACGGCGCTGGCTGGCAGGAAAAGTCAAAAAGCTGGAACAAATTCAACCTTTGCAAAAACAAGTAGCCTGTTTGTTCAGCCTTCTTGCTGCAGCCTGTTTGATGTTCAGCACAGCAGAAAACTTCCTGATCCAGCCAGTAGTTCCTCTGTCAGACGGGCTGGGACATGATAAAAGAAAAAAAAAAAAAAACTACTGCTGGACACCAACACTGTAACTTTTTAACTTACAATAAAGCAATAAGTTATTTTTTACCTTACAAATGAAAATAGTACTATTATTGGTAATAGCAGACGACAAGTGGATAATTCTGCGGCATTAAGACTTATTTTCAGAAAAAAAAGAAACTATATTTTTCTGTTTTGAGATCTTGTTCCCCTTGTATATTGATTTTAATGATGTCTTTTGTTGTGCTGTTGTAAGGAAAAGGGCCAATGCTTTGAATGGAGTTTGTAGCTCTACATGAGCTCGGTTAAAGTTTAAGATTTGGGCTGTCCCCCGCCAAGCTTTACAGCAATGCTTTTCTTTTTTTTTCTTCTTTTTTTTTCTTTGTTTTTTTTCCTGACAGTTTCAATTTGAAAATCCTAATAAATTATTCTAAAGTGTTTGTGACTCCTTTTTTTTTAACCCAACATTTGTTCACATGCGCACTGAAGTCATGTGAACTGACCTGCGTGTTTGAAATCTTAAGAGCAAATGCCACCTCTTAAATTGGTATACTGGCACAAATAGTTGGTGAATGTAACTGCCAAACTTCAACTGCTGAGGCTGAAAAATGAAGCCAAAACACGAGTGCCAAAAGTTGCAGTTCACAGAATGGCCATTTGAGGCTGGATTCACTCCCTTAATCAAATGCACAACCTTACAGTAGGGATAAACATGTTTGCAGCCTGGTGCAAAAAACATTTTGGTCTGTGTTAATTTAAACTACTAAACGCTGGACTGTGAGTCATTCCAACATATAAACTCCACCTAACTCCAGTGATGAGTGACAGAGAATCCTATCTTTAGGCACATTGTTATAGCAGCCTGTCACAAAAACACATAATTCGTTCCCATTTTTTAGTTGACTCTATAAAAAATACCAAAGGTAACATAGATTGACAGACATAGACATATTTTAGCACCAACACCGTGATTCCCAAGCCGCTATTATCTGAAAACTTGGCATATCTCAGCAAGGTGTGCTGCATGTCTGTAAAAATTTGTTGAAAGCGGTGGAGGACAAAAAAGGAAGTGGCCTAAAGAACTATCTACAGCAGATGAATAATACCTGAAAGTCATGTCTATAAAAAACAATTCAGCCAAGACCTGACATAGGACCTAAGAGATACAGATCTTGATCTACTGTTAGCTGAAGCCTCATCAGAAATGGTCTCAGTAGAAGGAAAGCTGTCAAGAAGCCATTTTTAAGGAAGGAAAACAGAGAAAAACAACTGGCATGAAAATCTGTCAAGCATGGTGGAGGCTCTGTCATGGTTTGGGGCTACATTTCAGCCAGTGGTGTTGGGTATCTTGTCACACTTTATAGAACTACAAGTGCAGAATAATAAAGTTACATTTTGACCCACCACAAAGACTCCTGTAGACTACTGAACGAAACAACAAGAAGTCTTGCAAGAAGTCTGCATCCACTTTTACCTGTAGTCTATGAAAGTCCTCCCAATTTTGGTGGGTTGAAGTATTCATAGACTTCCCTTCAGTAGCAAATTTAACAACAGAACTTTCACCAAAACTGCATGGATAGAGTTGACAGAGTAAACAAATACAGTGAATATGCCTGAAGGACTTGTTCCCATATTCATAATTTTCACAGTCTTTAACCCGACAAACTAAAAAACAGGGTGCATTGTTTCATCAGAAGTTCCATGCATGTGTCGTGCTGTGCTAAGAACATGAATCCATCTTGCAGTGCAGTGACTATGTTTGTGTGGGCTGCCAGCAGTGGTAAACAGTCTGATCCCTCACACTTCTATCAGGGTCAGAGTTCTGGATGGAGGCCAGCAGGGTTAGTGATCCTCTCCCAGCTCTGCTTCGCCTTCTCTCCCTACAAACTTCATTTTTTCCCAGCTTTGAGGAAGGATTAGACCCGGTATACAAGACCAGACTTTTCAAGCTGAGTTTTAAGCTGTTGGTTTCATTATTATTTTTTCCAAAGTTAAAAGTTAGACTTAAACGCCCTCCTGCTGTATTTAGAACACTTTTTTAGCTTCTGTTTTCTCTGTAACATTTTTAAATTTCGGTTTTTCACCTCTCGCTGTCAGATTCGATGGCACTTGGAGTGCTAAATCCACAGTTAAAGAGCTCCTTAAGTGGGAGCGAATTTTTCGACAGTGGTTATGTAGAGGAACTACCACCTCCTCTTCAAAGCTACCTTTGTTTGACCATTTTTACATGCTTTTGTCCTGCATACCCCGTCAACATTGTGGCTTTGGTCTTCTCTATCATGGTAAGTATAAACAATAAAACGTGATGGGGTTTTAATATCATGTCAGACCATGGGCGGGCAATTAATTTTCCCAAGAGCCCACAGCTATCGACTGATAGTAGCATCTACTCTTACCAGTAGCAGTTTATAAAGAGATAAATACTGAGCAGAGTTCAGCTTATTGCTCTGGTCTGCCACAGCAGTTCCAGTGTGTCACGTGGCCCCTTGGGAGAATGAATTGCCCACGCCTCTGTGTTAGACTATGCATGCTCTGTGCTCTAATATTAAGGAAATAATGAGTCAGAGAGAAATGAAACATGTTCTTGTCCAGGCTGCTTTAAATGTAATGCTTACACAGTGTTCTGATGTGCTGGACCCTAAGATGTAACCCAGTCACACAGACACCTGCTCTGCCCATCAAACAAACTTACTTCATCTTCCGCTTTGGAAAATTACATTTTCATGCTGCCTGTTGATGGAAATAAACTTTCACTTGGCAAATAAAAACAAAACAAAAAACAAAACCACTCATTAAACGTTTTTCATAGACTTTTCAGAGAGCTCTGCGTACCACATTTTGTGTTTTTAGCAGGTTTGCCGGTGAGTTTTTATGCTTTACAGTGATTTCTCTCTTCCAGTCTAGAAACAGTTACTACAGCGGAGACTACGAAGGCTCCAGGCGGCTGGGCAGGAACGCGCTCTACGTGGCTATTGCCTCAGTCATCATCGGGCTTCTCATCATCGCCATCTCCTGCACTGTTCATTTTACCAAAGTAAGACAGCCTCAGCACTGTTACCACTCATAAAAACTTCTCAAGCGAATTTCTAAAAACTTTATATTGGAATATTGCAACTATAACTTCAGACATGACCCTACACATAGCTAATTTCATGAGTTATGTTAATACTATTATTATTGTCATGCGTATTAGTGAAAGTCAAGTCAATGATTTTTGACTTGACTTGAATGAGGGTGACAAATACAAGCCTAATCTTTTATTGGAACCTTAATATTACAGAGTAAAAGGTCACATTAAATATATATAATATACACTGCTCAAAAAAATTTAAAGGAACACTTAGATCTAATGTGTTAGGAATAAAAGGACGCCACATCGTTTGATGGTACTGAGTAGCTCGTGTAGCCCCCCACGTGCTTGTATGCGTGCCTGACAACATCAGGGCATGCTTCCAATGAGATTGGAAGATCTGGATTAGGACATCACTGAAACTGTGGACAGTCTGAGATGCAATCTGGTGGCACTGGATTGTCTGAAACATAATGTCCCAGAGGTGATCTGTTGGATTTAGATCAGGCAAGTGTGGTGGCCAGTTAGTGGTATCAATTCCTTCCAGGGAACTGCCTGCATACTCTCACCATATGAGCCTGGGCATTATCGTACACCAGGAGGAACCCAGAACACTGCACCAATATAAGGTCTGAAATGTGTCCAAGCATTTCATCCTGATACCTAATGGCAGTCAGGATGCCGTTGCATAGTCTGTAGAAGTCTGCGTGTCCCTTGATGGATATGCCTCCATCACTGACCCACCACCAAACTACTTATGCTGAAAATTGTTACAGGCAGCATAACATTTTTCAAGGCTTCTCCAGACCCTTTCATGTCTGTCACATGTGCTCAGGGTAAACCTGCTCTAATCTGTGAAAAGCACACGGCGCCAGTGGTGAACCTGGCAATTCCAGTATTTTAGGCTAAATGCCAGGTGTGCTTCATGATATTGGGCAGTGAGCACAGGGCCCACTAGAGGACGTCAGGCCCTCAAGCCACCCTCATGACAACTGTTTCTGATTGTTTGGTCAGAGATATTCACACCAGTGGGCTGCTGGAGGTCATTCTGTAGTCCTCATTCTGTTTCTTCTTGCACAATCGAGCAGTTACTCCTGCTGACGGGCTAAGGACCTTCTACAGCCCGGTCCAGCTCTCCTGGATTCTCCTCCAAGCTTTTGAGGCTATGCTGAAGGCGCCTAAAGGTGCATTATATTGTAAGGTGGACCCTACAATAGTACATACAGAGAAAAACCCAACAATTATACGATCGCCTATGAGCAAGCGCTTTGGCCACAGTGGGAAGGAAAAACTCCCTTTTAACAGGAAGAAACCTCTAGCAGAACCAGGCTCAGGGAGGGGCGGGGCCATCTGCTCCGACTGGTTGAGGTGAGGGGAGAAAGAGGGCACAAAAGACATGCTGTGGAAGAAAGACAGAAATTAATAACAAGTATGATTCAATGCAGAGAGGTGTATAAACACATAGTGAGTGAGAAAGGTGACTGAAGAAGAAATACTCAATGCATCATGGGAATCCCCCAGCAGCCTACACCTATGGCAGCATAACTAAGGGAGGATTCAGGGTCACCCTAACTATATGCTTTATCAAAAAGGAAAGTTTTAAGCCTAATCTTAAAAGTAGAGATAGTGTCTGTCTCCCGAATCCAAACTGGAAGCTGGTTCCACGGAAGAGGGGCCTGAAAACTGAAGGCTCTCCCTCCCATTCTACTTTTAAATACTCTAGGAACAACAAGTAGGCCTGCAGAGCGAGAGCAAAGTGCTCTAATAGGGTGATATGGTACTACAAGGTCATTAAGACAAGATGGGGCCTAAATATTTAAGACCTTGTATGTGAGGAGCAGGATTTTGAATTCTGGATTTAACAGGAAGCCAATGAAGGGAAGCCAAAACAGGAGAAATATGCTCTCTCTTTCTAGTCCCTGTCAGTACTTTTACTGCAGCATTTTGGATTAGCTGAAGGCTTTCAGGGAGTTTTTAGGACATCTTGATAATAAAAAATTACAGTAGTCCAGCCTGGAAGTAATAAATGCATGAAGTTTTTCAGCGTCACTCTGAGACGGGATATTTCTAATTTTAGAGATGTTGTGCAAATGGAAGAAAGCAGTCCAACATATTTGTTTAGTAATAAAAAAAATCCTGTTTTGACTGTTGTCCCTGTTGTGTACCTGCTGTTAATTTAATTAACATCAAAGCAGCTGAAACTAATTAACAAAAGCTTCTGTTACTTAACTGACCAGATCAATACTCTGATTACAGAGTGTACCTTTAATTTTTGGAGCAGTGTACAACATGTAATGCATATCGAATAAATATAATATATAGATTTAATTGTACATGGGAGACTTGCCACTACTGACTATTCACCACTACATATAATATAGAAAAATTAGTCATTCATTTAATGTACTTTGTGTTGCAGATGGGTTTTTAGTGCAGTGGATGCAGAGAGAGCAGAGAGTTGAAGACTCATTACGAGCTCAGGTGCCAACGAAAGGATTCAGACTCACCTCATGTTTACTTTAGCCTGTACAGTGCTTACTTTACTGTCTATGTTGTTCCTTACAAAAAATCAGTGAATGTAAAATCTGGTGGGCGTGTACACTTCAGTGACTAATGTCTTTCCAGATTTGGCTGCAAAAGGCAGCTTTCCACAAAGGTGTAAACAATCCACTGTTTACTGTTGCTCATAGCTCGAGTGATAAAGATCCTGAACGTAATGCCTTCTTTAATGATAATAAAACCAGTTATGTTAAACCACAATGGTGGATAAAGAATCTGAACAGACAACAACTGATAACAATGAAATATGAAAATAATTTAGGCGTGTAGAGTATAACTTACAAATGTATCTCTCCGAGGTAGAAGCCCAATTGACCTTTTTAAGAACACAGAGTGTCTTAATTAGCTTCACTGTATTTATAGATAATCCCCTGCTGTGCATCAAACCTGGAATTATTATGAAAATGATTGTGTAAACAAACAAATGTTATTTTCATTCCTGTAGCAGTTACAAAGAGCATGTGAAATATGTGTATCGCAGTGCAGTGTATCGGCGGCCACCATGGTTCACACAGAGACTTTTGGAAGAATAAATAATTCATAAGAAGAATAAATTAATTTTTCCTCTGATGACAGAAATGTTAAAACACACAATTGTGAAATCAAATCCAGTCACAAGTTCTGCTTCTGTAGCTTTATTTGCCTAGTGTGATGATTGATTATAAACACAGCAGTTAATATAAATGTAAACCAATGCTGGAAAAATTATATTACAAGTTATATCCCTGACTTTGTGCCTCGTGTTTATGATTATCTACAATTGCTGTTTTTTTTATTGTATTTTTTTTGTTTTTGCATGAGACTTAAAGATGTGTTACAAACTTAGGCTGTGAGGTTTAAAAGTTGCTTGCATTTACCAGACAGCAAGGGTCTGATGAGAGAACTCATGAAGATACTACACAATGGGAAATAAAGTATCTTGTAATATTTTGGGGGGACTTGCCCCATATTTGGACTGGATGTTAGAATATTTGGCATTTGGTGTTTACTCTTTTTCTTCAGCTGTGTTCGCATGAGCCTGCTGCCTAAATGCATTTTTAAAAATATATGTGTATTAAAATCAGTTCCAGACATTTCTTGCCACTTGTTTAATTATTCTGTCTTGTTGACCGAAGAGCTGTTGCTGCAGTTGCGTTCCTTCCTGTGTGGTCTGTCACGACTGAGTAAAATTTGGCATTACAATCACATGAAAGTAAACTCAAACCATGCATCATGTTACATGCATTTGAGATCTCTATGTCTGCACCCTGGTAGACCCTACGACCTATCACTTTTCAATAATTTACCCTGAATACACACAATTCAAAGTATTTATACAGACCTGCACAGCCTCAAGTTCACAACTTGAGCCTTGAACTATGACCTTCCATGCCGGGACTTTTCCCTGTAGTTTGATATGTCGCAGCATATGCCCAGCTAAATATAGCAGATCTGCCCTCTGTGTGGCAGATTGCTCAGCCTCTCACATGGTCAAACAAAACTCATCCTTTCATGAAGCAACATAAAGTGGCCTAAAGGTGGGAGGGAATAAAGGGATGATTCAGACGGGTTTAAGCGGGAGAGTCATGATCCTGTACGTCCATTTCAGTCTCAACTCATGACTCATAACTGTTTTCTTGTTGCTACTGAAAAACAAGCCTTTCAGACTGTTTTCATATATTGCACAGCTATCTGCAGGGTAATGATGCTTTCCCTGGTCCCCAGGGAGAGACGAATTACACATACATGCTCCACATATAGAGAAACTAAAATCTGCAGTTTGCAATTTGGTTTGCAGTGTTTTTTCTTCTTCTTCTTTCAAACCTATCTCCTACTTGCAGGTGCAATTCATAGCAGTCCCTCTGATGTAACAGGCCCGCTGCCAAGTTTCAGCAGTTATTCTAATGCACTTAACAAATCACTTTTGGCAGTAATCTTGTTCTATTATCTCCCTTTACTTGAAAGAGAAATGCAGCGTGATTGTAGTGCAACCTCTTTGATGTCACACCAAAGCAAAACGCGAAAGGACGGGATGGAAAAAAAAAAGATAAAATGAGTGCGGGGATAAGGCGACTTGAAAAGCACTTTGTAAGATTATCAAGGGATCAAGACAGACTTTGTGACAGGAAAATGACGACCATAATATGTGCCGAAGAAAATTTCACACATGCACAATTAATTAAAATAGTTTCCATTTATATGTTTCATGTTGCCTCAAAAAGAGAGTATGACTTCCATCTTTGTGAGCGCGCTGCTTTTATTCTTCTGCACAAGAATAGTGAATCATATTATTTTTCAGCTTGCATTCACATCAATAATTCATCATGAAGCTGTACTGTTGTGTTGTTGGCCGCATTACAGCCGGTAAATTTGGAGAGCACTCCATGACTCATGCGAGGTGCGCATAAATAGGCCACTCAAACAAGTCGCTTCCATTAGCACTGCATAGACCCTTCATGTGTACATATCGCATGACACATTCCTCCTATCCGGCAGCAGTTTGATCTAGTTGGAATAAATGAAATAGGATCACTGTGGGAACGATGCTGTGCAAGCAGAGAAAGAGCGATATGCATTTAGATACCTGATATTCAAAAACGAAAAGGTCCTTTCTTCTTTTTTCATACTAAGACTAGAATTTCTACCATGCATCTGCCAGCCAGTCAGGTTGAATTCATGTCCGCTTAGTCACATATAGTTTAATGATGACTGGAATTTAATATCGTCTGACTATTTCAGAAAGTGCTGATCTGCTGGGATCAGCACAAAAATAAAGACTCAGAAGAGCATCTCTGAATGTACAACATGTTGAACCTCGAAGCAGATCAGCTACAGCAGCAGAAGAGCACACTGGGTGCCACTCCTGTCAGCTAAGAACAGGAAACTGAAGCTACAGTTCACACAGGCTCACCAGAACTGAATAACAGAAGACTGGTAAAATGTTTCCTAGCTCGATGAGTCTCAATTTCTGCCACAATATGTGGATGACAGGCTCACAATTAGGGTAAAACAACATGAGACAATGGATCCATCATGGCTTGTATCAACAGTTCAGGCTGGTACTGTCATGTAATTGTGTGGGGGTTATTTTCTGGGGCACCTGAATGCCAATTACCATTGTTTAAACACCACAGCTGACCAACCTAAATATTATTACTTACCACATGCATCTATAGGATAGGTAAAATGGGAGATTTTCATCTGTTTTCTGAGTTACAGAGTTTTTACAAACATTATGATGTAACTGATGGCCTTTTCAATATGAAATGTCACCACTTTTATCCTATTGGACATTTGTGATATTAATTAATTCTTGTGTTATTACCAAGAAAGTGTTTTGTTGACCCTTGACAACCAAAACCAAATCAGTTCTTCCTTTTAGTGACGGTGAATGACTGTCAAATCTGATTAATTATGATTATAATTAATTATTTCTATTGTGTTCCAAAGAATGGGACTGATGGATGGGTGAAAAAACGGGTACTGTTGTTAATTTTCAAAATGTATATTGTTTCTCAGAATTAAAGACTTTTGCCTCAATTTTAAAAAAAATTCCATTAGGTCACATGCTTTGGGGTAAATGGCATAAGCTAGATAGATAACAAATAGACACAGTAGCCAATTTCAGATACATTTGGATCATGAACTTTAATATCCATTTCTCTCGCAGCTCTATTTTTGCTGTGATGCTTTCACTGTGAAACCCTCCACTGGTTTGACCAGACAGCTTAGACTGCCTGTTAGCTGTGCTCTATTTAAGGTCCAGTGGGTTTTTATAGCTATAGTTTTACCTTCTGGAAATGTTGTCGGGGACAGTGTGTGAGCATCAAACACAAGAGTAAAGTTGGGGGCCTGACCTCATCTTTACCCTGAATACAATCCATAATATCTGAAGAGTGCTACCTTGAACGCCATCGTCGTTACATTTAATGCTAACTGACTAACAATGAAATTGAATTTGTTGATGCTGAAGGTCAGCACATTTGATAAAATACATTCATTTGCAGTCGTTTGAGAAAATGTCAGCCTGTATTTGTAGAAGTCTGCTGTGTTAATAGGGGAGCTCAAAGACACCCACGTCAACAATGATGCTGCTTATGCCGACAATGACTTTGGCCTCGTGAAGCACTCCCAAGTCCTGATCATTACAGATGCTAATGGTAGTTTAGGTGGATGGTTGTTGAGAGAGATGATTACCCTGTTATGTAAGAATTTAATAATGTATTGCGCTCAGGCTTATGAAATGGTGCTGAAAAAAATGTTTGGGTCAACATTTTTTTATACTATTGTCATTTTTTTGTTCATTTTTTATGGGCCTGCAATTTTTTTTCCAACTGAGACTAATTAAAAAAAAAAAAAAACTTTAAGCACAAACCAAAAACTTTTTTTCTGACGTGCTGCAATTTGTCCTGTGCATGAAAACTGTGATCTCACAGAACACAAACAATGGCTGTTGACATTTACCATGTGTGACGTACCTGCAGTTAGATGCTAAATTCCACCACACGGAAAACTTTTTATGGCAACCGTACAACCTAATGGTCAAGTAATAGATTTAAACTGTGTTTATTACCTGGGCAAGCAGTTAAGATGAAACAACTTTGTGGTCTTTAGCACATTAACTCCCCTGTACAAAAGTTCAGATTTCCTTGAACTGTATTCTTTGACTGAACCAGTGTTTACATTTGATCCGCTCACCACAGGCTTGTTCAAGTAAATCAACATGCAACCATTGTTCACCTGTTATAAGGATATTGCTCACATAGCCCATTTTTAGACACAAACTCCCTCCAATTAGTCTGTCATCCTCATGTCTGTATGATCACCCACAGCAATCTAACGAGAACAAATTCATTCATTTATATATATTACTTTCACAGCTGGACGTATGAATTGCATGCAGCTATACAGGCAATGTCACGATTAATCTTGAGAACTAAACACCATTATAAAGTAGAAAAGCACAACATTGCACCTCATTGGCAACATTTCTAGTTTAAGTTTTTATTTTCAAAATCACCATCACTACTGTAAATGTGATATTGATGAAGCAGCCAGTGTTATATGTCTCCATCGTAAAACAGAATCACAACCAAGTGTGAGTGTGAGAAGTCAAATTGCTACGCAAAGCAAAGATTTATAATGTACTATTGTACAGTACTACTGGGTAAGCATAATTTTTTAACATTCAGGGTTAAAGTTGTGAAGGGGCATATTTGAACCTAACTAGGTGGAATTTAGTAAAACGGGCTCTAAGGGAAACCCTGCAATGTTAAAAAGGCCAAAGCACACACAACACTACAATCACCACAGTTAAATAAAAGTGGAATCGCTGCATGTGATGACATAAATGTATGTATTAATCACAGTGCTACCTGGGAACAAACTGTGCCAGCACAGTTGACTGGGTGTGCTTGGCTGTCCTGTATCTCTGCTACGTCATCACACTCTACACAAAGGCAAATGCAGGCTTAGACTAGCACGACTTCACTGAATTAAAAAGTGCAGCCAGTTTGAAAACAGATTGTTTGTGTGAACTGCACGTCCTGCAGCCTTACAGTTCCATTCTGATAAGTTATGTTAATCAACTCTACGTGTGTGGGCGTGTTTCGGCTCGGTGCGCTGCTACAGCGGCCCCCAAGTATCTGTGCTCCAGGAAATTACAAAAATTATCATGCAAAGGCAACCATAAAGACTGTAACTTCTATTCAGAGACAAACATGACGATGTATTGCATACATTACACATAAAAAGTGGCACACCAAAGTGATAGAAGTACATTTTAAAATACTTAAATCTTACACTGCTTGACTGCTGAAAAAAATGAGACACACCACAGACAAAGTCAAACTTTCAGTACATTCAGGAAGCAGCATACGACTGAAACAATGACTTCATGAACATCTTATTTAAGGATAACTGTGCTTTTTTGGGTATTTCGTTAAATTAAATGAAAACTTAAATTAGAACGGTAACCCCACTGAACCATGAAATACAAATGCGCATTAAACAGAGGTGGAAAAGCCACACTGCAGGTCAACGTGAAAGACACAGAGAACGTTATACAACCTTATCTCTCCTAAACAGTTCTCAAGATTGTGCAGCACAGCGCACTGCTATCTGGACAACAGTCAGCAGAAATTGAAAGCCTTACGAACTACATGTCGTGATGTTTAAAAGCGCAACAGCAAGACTAAAATTAGATCTGTAAATTACAAGGCACAAATATTTAATCTGACAATATGCGGCATGTTGTTTGAAAGAGAAGCCAATAATAGGACAAGTGCGTATTGTCCACACACTGAAAGCAACACCTTTTAGACTGAAAAGCCATAACATTTTCAACATACTGGGTCCTAATCAGGTGAATCGCCAACAGTATAAAGAAAAGCAAACAGAAAATAGATACGAAATCAGTTACTGCACAATGCAGATGCTTTTGTAAGCATGGTAAAATCTGACAATGACTCCACAATTCCTTTTGCAACACAGGTCCAAAGCAGCACCCTAAAGCCAGCAGTAATCACATTTGTTTGCCCTGTCATTATTCTTTTGTCCTGCAGAGGGGCCTCAAGCTAAATGCTCTAGTGTCTCTAGCTTCTGACAGTGAGCCATGAAAACAGAGGACGGATTCTTTTATATTAGTCTGACTGAAATGTGTTAACGTTAACGTGCGCTTAATCATCCACAGCAAACTGTAACATTACGATTCTATCGACCAGAATTGGCTGTAATCAGACAAGTTTAAGTAAACCCATCATACATTGCTATAAATACTTCTTAATACACCACACTGACCTCAAACGTGTCAAACTTGGAGTAACCTGAACAATAAAAGATCACGAGACAGAACAATTTGACCGAATCTGCAGCAGAAACCTGTTTTTGCAACAGAACACGATCTCCTCGTTTGGTGTCTTGTTACATGAGGGTATGCTGTGTGCGCCACAAATGCTGCATTACTGATTGACTCACTCTGCTTATTCAGATATTTAGTAGTCTTGACTACATCTCTGTGTTAATGCAGCTCATATGATACTGTTACTTACAGGAACTTTCAACCGCAGTGATATGTTGTCACTTTGATTGTAGTATTGAGATAAGCTGCAAAAGAATGTTCTGACTTAAAAGTTTATTTTTTTTCCACTTGGAGTAAATCATATTAAAAAAACATAAATGGATCACTATTACACTCCACGGGGTCAGGGACACTTGTAGGATCAAAGTGGACAAGGTGCTGCTGGACACTTTCCAATTAGAAGATTAGTTATGAGCATTGTGCTCGGAGTTCCACAAACCATGTCTATGATTGAGTCTTAATTTAGCTTCTCCTTGTTTGATTCCCAGTTTCCTGCTTTTGACAGCTGAAATTATTTGTTTGGCCATACTGTGAACTGCGATGCAAGGCAGAAGTCATTGTTTTGTCTGACAGGCAGCTTTGCTTGTTCCCCGTAACAACCTTCACACCCCCTCCTCCTGTCTGCAGCAGGAGGCCTGTGTAATTACATCCAAACCATTCCCCTCTCCCTACGCTTGATATCACCGCTGACATCCACTTGCACGGCCCCTCCTCTCGCGCTCTCTCTCTCTCTCCCTCTCGCCCCTCTGAATCTCTGCTGTTGGAGAGCTCTCTGGCAGACAGTGCGCAGTCCTGCCTCGTCTTCAGTTGTCTGTAGTGCAGCGGAGCAGGTGGAGAAGGAAAAGAAACGGGGGAGACAGAGGGGAGAGCAGAGTATGGCAGACAGCTGGAGAAGGAACTGTTATCCATGTGAATAATGGAAGATGGCTGACTTATACGCTGGGATATTTATTCAAAGAACAGTAGAAAAACTGATGCCTCAGTGTGTCGGGTAAGTGTGCAACTACTGTGAATGTAAGACTTTGCTTCATAGCAACACATAGCGTGATAAAAACAAATTGGAAAGTCTTAACATTCTTAGTGTTTTGAAGTTAAGATTGTTATTAGAATTATGTTTTCCATAGGACTGGGGCCAGCTGGTGCTATTTAAGTACGCAGCGAGTTATGAGATCAGGGGGAGATCACCAGTTGTGACTGAGGTATCCTCCTTAATCACTAAAGAGTGAAAAAAATGGAGCTTCCTTTCCACCTGAGGATTGAAGGCTGCACCAAATCCAGATCAAATGCTCTGTGACTTTATCAGATCCACCTGTCACACTCTGCAGGCAGCCAGGGCTCCAACTGCACATGTGGGGGTATGAAATCAACTGACGCAGGGGACTCTGATTAACATGAGACTGATAAGAGGTGATAGCGAGTCTAGGTGTGACAGCGCTGTCACTTCCATGCAGATATTGGAATTAGAAGGGCTTCTCAATAGTTAGGTGAGACAAGCAGATTTAAGACTGACTGATAGAAATCATGCTAGATTCAACTGAGTCACGTGAATAACACATAGAGGGTTATATCCATGTGATTCACTGGGTTTGAAGAGGCGTTTTTTTCCTCACGGGAAGTGGCTGTACTCATGCTATTCAGCACTAACTTGAGAATGCAGAGCAAAGATCAGGACAGGCCTCAAATCCCAAGATCAGTGATGAGCGACGATTGTAGTGCCTTAAACTCTAGATGCCTCTGTGCTTTTACATGGCAATGATGATAGCAATGAGTAAAATGAAGTGACGTGTTTCATTTACAATAAAATATTCACAAATAAAATGAATTTTCATGTTTTTAGAAAGTAACAAGATTCAAAAAGCGATCTTCGGGACAACACTATTCACGCGCAACATAAGTTCACTGTTCACTGGTAAGTGCTTTTGCAGTGTAAACATATTGACATGCTAATCCTCCAAATGGGAAAATAATGGGAGTGAATTTCTGTCTGGTTAATGTGCATCTACATTAGCAAATGGTCCACCTTTATTAAAGATATTCAGTTGTCAAGAAAGATGAGCACAGCAACCATGTATGCATGTATGTGTGAGAAAGAGAGAGAGAGAGGGGGAGAGAGTAGGTTACCACAACTTTATTTTGGTGATTCAAAGTGCACAGTGTGCAGCGAGCTTGTAGCATGTGAGTTATGCAGGGAAACAGAATGCGATTAGTAGGAATGCACAGTCCATTGGTTGATTTGGATTAGTAACAATCACAAACTGATATTATTGCTTCAAAAGCAGCGCTAACTCTATTAGCTGTGGTTGTGGAGCCAGCTGAAATTGAATTCTCGTGTGCAAGCAGAGCTGGTGCATGTGAAGCTACAGTGGCCTGCGATCAATTTGCATCAACCTAGCGGCGGCTGTATAAAATTTAAGCTTAACACAGTAGATATGGTGTGCATAATTGTGTACAAATGGGGCATATGCTCCCTTTCGCTGCCTGCGTAGCCACTCAGCTGGAAGGGAAGGCTTTCATATAGCTCCAAACAGATGTTCCATTCATACCAGGGGTGGCTAACCATCATGACCGATTTAATGCTATTTTGGTAATTTTGAGTTTAGACCTTGTAGATGTGTTGTTTTTAGTGTTTGCATGATTGAAAACAGTGGTGAGGTTTACCTAGCTACCTTGCCCAAGAATCCTCTGGCCAGTAATGATTTAGTGTTTACCAGTAGCATTTATGAGCTAGTGTTGAGGTTCAGCATTTGTTTTGAAAGTAAGTTCAATATACCACTACAGTACCATTGTTCTGCATGGTTAACTGAGAAAATCCTTGGTAATAGTACGTTATATATAATATATTAATACTCACAATAAAGAAGATATCTGGAATCCACCTTCTAAGTTTAGTTGACTGTTCTCGGGGAAACAAGGTGACTTATTATATGATACAGTAAAATTTACTCTGGTGATTTTTTAATCTTTTTTTTTTAAGTCAACAGTCTTACTGAACACTCTTTCTCACTTCTTCCTCAAAGTAGGGGATTTCTGTCTGTTCAGGCAACACAGTGTGCTTTTCTGTTTACTAAAAATGATAATTAATTTGGTTAATAAGTGTGTAAAGAGTAGAAACAAACCATATTGTGTAGTAGTAAAAAATTAGCATGCTGGATTACAGTTTGAATGGCTTTTTTTTTTTTTTGAAAAATCAAAGTCAAATCAAAATTGCCATCAGTTCAGTCATGAAGCATTTTTTGGAGTCAGTATTCTTGCAAAGGCTTTCCTCAAGTTTTCTTTCTCAAATGGCTCAAAAGGATCATTGATCATCAATTAAAAAGTCATGAACCTGATCTTCGAATCCACATTACCTATCCTGACACAGATCACAAGATCCAGCCTTTGAGATATATGAGTTTTATTTTAAAATACACTCTCTAGGACTATATTTTACTGAAAATAATAATTCAAGTTTAGTGAAGAAATAAAAAACTGAGGTACAGATATGAGCTAATTATCTTTTTACAAAGTTTTTGTGTCATTTTGAAATGAGACATCTAAGGAAATGAGCTGATGCATTATCACAATAACGGTCCACAAAATGGAAGGACACTGAGACTGACCTGAATTCATTACACTGTGAGGAGGAGGAGCAATGCCATCGTTTTGTCTTCAGACTTTGTTTTTTTCCCTCTTTATTTAATTGTTGGTGCCTCCCATGTTAGCTTAACCTGTATTCAATTAGTTCCCTGTTTGTTTCTAATCCTGGCCCTATCACTGTTGTTTATCAGGTTGCCTGCACAGCCTGTGTTTACGCCTGCTTCCTCCTATCTGCTTCCTCTGTTCTCGTGTTCCTGTGTTCAGTTCCTCGTGTGTTTTTGAGCGTGTTCGTGGTTATTTGGGTTTACAGCAAGTCAAACTGAAATTAATCTTTTGTTTATACATCCTGCCTATGTGTCCAGTGTTTTGATCCTCATTCCTGTGTTCTTCTGTGCCTGTGTGTGCTCTCAAATGCTGACTTCTATTATAAAAGACATTAATTAGACGGAGATGGCATTAAAAAATAGTACAAATGTTACACATATATTAATATATAGTATAAAACTGATATAAAACAATGAACAGCAAGGAGAAGGAGACTGATTGAAAAGATTGATGAGTTAACTGAGACATACTGTGCTCCACTTTCCATTTCATGCTCCACAGGTGTTCAATTATTCCTAATTGTTCTATTTGTTTCTCTCTTACAGACAGTTGCAGGCGTTTACTGGAATCATAAGCAGTGTTTTGACAATACAGACTATTGTGAAATCATCACTGGGAGAAAGTGCTGCGAGCCTCCTCTGTATGTCGGAGCACTGGTGTGTCACCCTAAAGAAGCTATCAGGAAAAACAGAACCTTGAGGAGCAAACATTCATATCTTAAGTGACACATGCAAGCCAACTTTCCTGTGCTTGTCTTCTCTAAAAATTCTGCACAATACAGTGTGCGCTTTGTGGAAGGGAACACTCCACTTTGATGTTCATATTACATATTAATTTTATCCCACAATAATTACCATAATTAACTATATGATGGAGATATATGTTAAGTTCTTGTGTGGACATCACCTCCTATAGATTCATGCTTTCTAAATAAATATGCTGCTGCTTGGTCTTACTAATGAACTAAGGACATCAAGGAGCCAACTTAAAAGCTCAAATTTAGGTTAAACGTCACTGGGAACTGCTGTCCAGTCTTAAATATGGAATCAGAAGGAAGCACAGGACTGTCCACAGCTGCACTGGTGGCCATCGCCTGCAACACCTTTGTTGCCATCCTCCTTCTCCTCCTCTGTCTAATCCTCTACCGAGCCTGCAGGGTTCCTTCTAGCCCAGAGAGGCAGCCTGTGCTGGCTCCAAGTGAAGCAGAAACCCAGCAGATGAACGAGCAGAAGTACCTGTTAACCTCCTGACTGATGAAGAATGAGTCAAATGTAGCAACAAGCTATGACCTCAGCGTACTCCTCCACAGGAGAGGGAAGTGAAGGAGCACTGAGCCTGACTGCAAGCAATAACGAAGCTTGTCCTCTCCTAGTGTCAAAAAAAAAAAAAAAAAAAAAAAAAGAAATCAGCTGTCGCTCTAAAATCAGAAATGCCTCACAAAAACAGAAAGGATGAGTTGTTGTGGAGTGAGAGAACTATTTTTAAACAGCGATCACTTGTCAAATCTGGTAACTGGTTTGACAAAACACACGGGGGAGTGCCGGTGCGAATCTGTGTTTAACGCACACACAAAAAGCCTCGAGAGGAACACATGGTCACAAGGATGTCTGCAGGTTACGTACAGACTGAGAGAAAGGAGGGTTCAGTACATGAAGAATGACTAGTACTTGTTGGAGGTTTCTAAATATATATCCTCTTATTTCATATGTTGGCCTGAAAAAAAAGAGAAACAGTATGTTACTCAGAACAGGGACTTGAGCCCGTGTGGAGTCTGTGTGTGTCACTGTCACTCATAAATATCAGTGGACTGTGAGGCACAGTGCTTTTGCTATGGGTGTTGTATAAGAACTAGCGATGCTTAGTTGAAATAGCAGCCCTCATAGTGACATCTGCCTGCAGCCATGTGTGACAGGCAGCTCGCTTTGGACAGAATCACACGCTGATCACGTAAAGATCTTCAGTTTTACCAACATCCCATTGCAAATTATTAAGACTCAACCACTTCTCCACTATTACAGCTGAGATCACACGTACATCAAAAAGGAGTAAGAAAGAAAAGGTTCTCAAAATATATTCCTACTCCATGCGTGAAAATATACCTACTGCTAATATACTCCTTTTCATCATTTTCTTTTTCATATGAAACACAATATGAGTAAATGGATTAAGTTTAGAGAAAGTCAGAAAACAAAGAAGTTCATATCTTTAAACATATATTAGATATTATATAAATACATAAATATATTGAGGTTGAATGAATCACTGATTAACTGATCAACAATTAATTACCACATATTCCAGAAACTTGCTGAATATCACGTAATAATGATGCTTAAAAGTCAGTGCCCTAAGGGTGAAATTATTTTCTGGACATGCTAGCGAAGATTCAGTGAATTTATGACCTTTGTAGTAGAAGTGCTCTCCCTAAAGACTTGACCACACTTCCATATAATCCTCATGTGTTATACACGCAGCTGCAAGAACCCAGAAAGCTGAAAATAAGCAAACCTGGCAGTGCTTTAGCCAAGCTTCCACCCTTTATGCTTCCTATTACTGCAATAACAACATAACTGTATAACTGCAGCCACATTCTCATTACTACAACACGGGCACTCTCATTTATTACACATCTGCAAACATGAGATGATCAGGCAGCGTTCTCCAACCACACTTGGAGAAATTGTAATGTAATGAATTACTCATAAGGGAGAAATTGCTGGATGTGATCACATCTAGACCCAAAGGATAAAGGAACTCTCTATGGCAGAAAGACAGAAAGAAAAAGAGCTTGGGAGACAAAGAGCAAAATGTTATTCCAGGTGAGCATTAGAGCACTGGGCGGCGCTTTACTGCAGATCATTAAGAATGAGAGGAATGAAAACAAAAAATAAAGGCAGAAACCATTCAGTAGATGGAACATTAAAAGGCTACCATCCCTGGAACGGTGCCCAGGACTATGTGTGCCAGTTGTTTGGATGTGGTCCACAAGTGCCCAGTCTAGTAGGGTAATTTATCTCCCTGTCCAATGCTGTGACTTTCCCCCTTGCTATTTAGCTTAATTAACTTGTACCATACATATGAAATGAGCGTTATACATGCCTGCAGAGGAGGTCAGACAAATCATAATGCCTGGTTAATGTGCACCAAGAACAGCAATTTCAACAACAAATATGATGTGATTATGAATAAATGATGGACATCTTAACTTAAGCTGGAAGAACACATTTTAATAAACATATACATATCGGTTTGTTGTCATGTGATGTTTACTGAATAGTGTGAACAAAATAAGTGTTTTTCATGAACGGCAATGAAACACTCTATTTGTGTTTGGCTTAGAAACCAAGGTGACCACCTTAACCTGAGTTTTGGTCTGGTTCTCTTAGCAGGCTGAGGAGCTTCTCCATTTTCGCTACCTCCACTTCTGGTCCCTTAGGCAGCTCATGACCTTTCTTGGCCTATAGACATTACACACACACACACACACACACGCACACACACACACACACACACACACACACACACACACACACACACACACACACACACACACACACGCGTACAGATGAGAAATTACTTGACCTTATACTTACCAAGCACTGTGGGAAACCACAAACCCAGCAGGGAGTTAAAAAGGAGGGCAAGATAATAAAAGCAGACAAAAATTGAAATGGATGCAGGGTCAAAAGTAGCAGAGATTTTATGTTAGTCTATTGAATATAGTGAAATCTGCTATGGAGACACAGAGCTACTGCCTAAAGGGCAAATTCAAAGCCATCTTCCAAAGTTATGGTGAGATGACATTAAATCCTCCTGGGTGTAGTAAAGCACAGCCTCTTAAGAGCGATATAATATGGCACAGCTTTAGTTCTATTTTGCTGCAGGAGTTAATTTCACTTCTGTGAGAGGATATTTATTAGAACTTATCAAAGCTCCTCTACAATTTTTACAGGCTTTACTCATACTTAATACGGCTTTGATTTAAGAGGCCCAACAGAATAAACCTCAAAAAGCCACAGGTAAAAATAGAATGGCATGTGGGCACATTAATGAGCAGATGCAGCAGTATGTATTAACCAATGATATACGTGTATCCATCTGTTACACTGTAACTACCAATCCACATTAGATATTACTTCATCCAAATCATTATATTCAATAAAAAAGGACATTTGTTGATTAGGCCATCCCCTGCAGGTATTGACTACACCCTGTTGCAAACCTCTGTGTTGCGATGAAGTTCAAGCCTTCTAAAGTGCTGTGGTATTTTAAATAAAAAAAGAGTATGAAATGATGAAAATGGAGGACTTTGTATTAAATTTATATAAAAATTATATTTAAAAAGTGTCATTTTTCAAAAACCTATGGAAATAACTATGTAATCAATTCTGAAGCGAAGCATCTCGTGTGAACTTTTCATCTTACTAAAAGAAAACAGTAAGACGTTTGACAATTTGTTTACCAACTCAAACACTGTTAATATTAAAAGCAAAAAAATGTATGTGCTGTACTATTTAACGTATCTGTATGTAGGTGGGATACAGTGAATATTTCTAGAACTAGTCATAACTGAACATAGTGAAAAATGACAGCTGAGCAGCTAACGCCTCAATTTAACCCTGGAAAAAATATATTTGCTGTATATTTCGGTGTGGCTATTTTGACATTTGAAATAGTCAAAGGTGTTCCTCTGAAGAAAGACCATCATATCTCAAGATAATATATCTGGGCAGTGATGAGTTTTCACAGAGCAGAGTGAAAGGCTAAACTCAAAGTGAATAAAGCTTCAAAACTGATCTCAGTCATAAAGGTTTTGTCTCAAATTGAATGTATCTGGATTTATTTTTCCAAATACTTATTTTTCTGGTTATTTTCCAAAAACATAAAACGGCAGACTTGTCTGTGTATAATATGAATGTGTACTAATTTTCTCCATTTACTGTAAGGCCTTCCATTTGATGTCTTCTCATTTTTTGGCAATGCTACACAAATTATGTAGAAAACTAAATTTTAATATGGAAGTTTTATTTAAGAGGCAATAACGATAAGTCATAAAATACTTCATAATGCGACTTTTATGATCGACCCATCACTGATTTGTGGGCATGAAAGTAGGAGGCTGAGATGAGATGAACGCATTCATGTCGAAAACAGCTAAACAGTGTGTTGTACTGAACATACACAGGGTCATTTGATGTTAATGGACTCACTGAGTACCACGGCAGAATCTACTGGACAGTACAACAATTGTATGTAATGCTGTCTAGTTAGTGACTGTTTATTGCTGAGATGTGCATTGCATATTTTCTATTTTGGACACTAAAAGCTGCAGTTCATTCTGGAATGTCCAAACAATGACTTAGAAACTGGGGAGAAGAGAAGAGCACTAAAAGATAACAGAAGGGTTGGACTGGTTTAAAGTACTAGCGCCAAGACTATGATCTACTTTATAGAAACCCTTACAATTGGTAAGTACAACACATTGGCTAGTTTGGCTAGACCACTTTTGGGTATATTTATAGTTTTGGTAGGCTAAGATATGAATTTTACAAGATATATTATTGATAATATTAACTGTGGGTGTTACTGTCTTATACTTATTTGCTTCAGTAGCTTCCAAATTGCTCTGAGCCCTGTCACTGGTGCTGAACTGAGCAATTATTCCCCAATTGTATGCTTTAGGGCTACGGTCTTAGGTCGCTAATGAGGCAGTGTTGTGAGTGTGTGTATGTGTGTACATGCCTTATTATGCTGTACTTTTATAAACCGTGTTTATGCGGGCAGGTGAAAGGGACCTGTTTGTGTTTTGGCGATACCATGTATAATGCAGCATGCATATTACACTGGTCATTAGAATTTATTCTATTTTACATGCACCATTGTGAACAATGCACAGGAAGAATAGAGAGGCTGTAGGGCTGACTTTAAATGTGTCCTGATTAAAGTGTTGTGACTCAGCGTGCCACCCGGTTTCTTTTATGTTCAGACAGAGTGATGTGATTACTCCACAGCCCATTAACCATTAGCATAAGTGGCAACAGCGTCTTCAGGGACTTATAAATTGTGAGTTGACCAAAGTCAATTTTTGATTTATTTCATAGCTACAAGTTTAAAAATACAAAAATGAAGAGTAAAAAATACTTTTTTACTCTTCATTTTCTCCGTAATGTTTTAGCACTCTATGCCCTCACCATTTTAAAATCCCAAACTCAGAGCACAGAAAAAAAATGCTGTAAGCTTTCTTTTATATTGTAGCTTTTCATACACTCATTCATTTACTAAGAACACTACACAATGAGGCTAATTGTTAACTGGGATAAATATAAAGGGAAAAAAGCAACAAAGGCAATTAGTAATGCTAATGGAGGGTGGGGGTGGGAGAGACTTGCTATTTAGTAAAATTAGCTCGGGGTCAGGACACTGGACTGAATGAATCATTTGATTTGCTTTAATTGATGTGGAACAAGTGGAAGTCGTGAATGGTGCGGTAAGCTTGTTAAGACTCTAACCTTCGGCTTCTTGCGGAGGTTAGGAGAGAGTTTGAAGCTGGTGACATAGCCTCGGTCATCACCCACTATGATGACAGGATGGATGGGATTAAACTCGACGTGGGTCAGCTTGGTCTTCTTTTTGTCCACCACCAGCTGCTGGCAGATCGCCTCGTATTTGTTGACGCTCAGGTCAAAAACATGAACCTGAAAAAGAGGAGCGATCATACCAGTGGTACAGATTTATCAATCTTTTAATAGTTGTGACCCTCTGATTAATTGACTTACATTTCAGTGGTAGACCAAAACAACAATGTTTGTATGTGCAACAAACCCACATCTCATAAACTGAGAACAACAATAGGAAGTATTCAGATATTTCAAGTAAGTAAGGCCTGCATGTGTTTCTTCTTTGTGGTGGTGCACAGTTCTCTGCAGGGAGGCAAGACTGACCATCTGGTGAAAGGAAGGGTGTTCCTAGTAATTCAGTGAGTGTGCATTGCTGTCCACATGAGCATGTGTGTTTTGTGCACTGTGTTGGCAGGTCCAACATACCAATGAGTTTACAGCCATTGTTATCCAGAAGAAACCAGATCACAGATTTCTTTCTGTTTGAGTGCATTTTAGACGATTCCACTGCAAAGCGCAGCCCACTCCTTTTATCAGAAAGATGACTGTGCGTGGATCACTTGGATTCACACTGTCTGTGTGCATCAGTTACACACAAAGTGTCATAGTCATAATTTGTAACCAATCATCATACTCCACCAGGGCATGGTGACTTTCTGCAACCTCTTGTCACTGCAGCCATTAACTACGGTGTTTTTGCTGTTCACATTTAAGCACTAATGTAACATTAGTCATGCCTGATTGCAGGGCACAGACTACATCTGTAATTCATGCAAGAACTTGAAGCAGAGAGACATTTTACTGTGATGAATTTATACTTCTAAAGTGCCAAACCTATACTGGAGAGAACAAAGCTTTATGTAATAAGGATTTTTAATAGTTTAATAGCTTAACCACTGTAATCATTTCATTGCAGACTCGGTGGTAATGAAATCAAATGTGCAAAGGACTAAAATGCCTCAGAGCAAACTTCACTTAAGTTGCATTGACAATTACATCACTTTTTTTTCACTTGACCTTAACATTTGGCAATCCAATCCAACATTTTTGATGGCAATCCAAAAGTTCCACAAAAGTTATGCTAAATAAAAAGATGCAGCAGTCTGTGTGCAAAAGGTTAACAGCAAATGCACGGGAAGCAAATATGGACTTGAAGGCTAATAATGTGCAGATGAGTCTGGACTTTTTATTATTTCATGCTGACACTTTATTTCCCTGACAGTCGGCTCAGATGGAGAGGCAGGGACAGATAGAGCGAAGAGATATTTGTTTGCACCACACAAGTCTGTGTCATTCTTACACCTCAGCCCGCCAGGCAAGTCATTATCCTTATGAACCCATGCACACAAGCAAGTACGCACACATGCTCTCTCTCTCTCCCTCTCTCTCTCTCTCTCAAACACACACACACACACACACACACACACACACACACACACACACACACACACACACACACAGTGCCTGACATTTTATAGTGTGGAGACAACAGCAGCAGGTCAGGTTGTCATCAACAGTATATACACGTCAGGGAGGACACAACTCATGCTGAGTCACTCAAGGCTAATCAGACACTTGTCACAGAAAATTGCAAATGTACTGCAAGGAGACTGGTATCCTAGGGAAGATTATGCCGATTAACATCACGCGCTGAGAACCCAACAGTGAATGTGATTCTGCTGTTATTTTGTCATTCTTTAAAGTCTGAAATATTAGTGCCTGCATACTCAGTAATCATCAAATATGTAGAGCTGTTTATGCCAAAGCATCCCTAAAACCAGTCTAACCAGATCCATTCAATTTTGAGCTCAGCACACTGGGAAAAAATGGTAAATTACAATCTTGGCACTTCTGGTTTCTAAAGAACAGATATTATGTGAAATATATGCCAACTCATGAACTTAAAATGAGTTTTTTAAATGGTTAAAAATAGCCTTTGATCCAGTTTTAAAGGCTAAAATAACCAAGAATCACAAACGTTCTAGATATCTTTGTTCATAGAAGATATTTACAATTAAACAATTAAAGTGTTGATATATGCATTGCTCCCACAAGTAGCAATATGTATAACTAAGATTACAAATTGTGAATTTGGTGTGAAAATGGATGGTTTCTCACGTAAATGTCTGATCAAGACTTGGGCTTGGATGTAAAATCATTTGCATAATTATGATAGTGGGCATACTACAGGGCATATTGTGACCGAATCCTGGCACTGGAGAGGACGAGACACACATGCACACACTACCACATAAGGTGTCTCTCAAATTGCTCATCTCTCATTTCCTCCCTGTCACTCTCACTCGACTTCACACTGGCACGCTGGACAGGAAATGTGTCAGACACAACACTCTGGACTTTTATAATGTGGCGCAGGCTGTGAAGACAAACAGATGGGGACAGCTTGCAGCCATACTAAGAAAATATGTGGAGATAAGCAGCACAGCATCCAGTGAAATTACTTTTGGCTGAAATCAATAACTACTGGGAGAGCAGGAAGCGCTTTTGCTACATGAAGCTGTGTTTGAACAAACTTGATTGCCTGAGGCTAGGCCGAGGGCTTAGCCAACTGAGTCTATAACTATATTATGAGGATAATAATAAAGTGGGTGGCAGGTGGTAGCTGGTGCTGCTGTTTGTTATTTCACATGTTCAGTTTGGAAAGTGTCAAGCTTGAGACATGGGATAACTAACGTTATTGGCTTTGTCAATCTGTTTCGAACATACGTAACCTTCACATCTACCTGATGACAGCTGACAGGTTCAAATGCCATTGAATTAAAGGAAAGAAGTGCAAGTCTAAAAAGGGACTTCAGGTAAGCAGCACGTGTGGTGGCTGCAATCACAGTTTTCAGACAAGCTTTTGGTTACTGGTTGTGTTCTCATTCTCTGCAACTCTAAACTATGAATATATTATATTTCATATGTAACCACACTGTTAATCAATTAGCTTGACACAGTTGTGATATCTACATTTTTCTAGTCCTATCAATTAAGCATTCTTGATAAATCTGAGGATAATCCACACACTGTAGTTTAGACGAGTATTTCTTGGGCCAAAACATGCAAAATCTATTAGGCTCATGCTGCGGGTTGCAAAATTTAGGAAATAATGTAGAGAGACTCTTACTGTTCCATCTGTTGTTACAGCAGCAAATACAGTGGACGAGTATGGAGACCAGGCAACATCCCCAACCGCTGCTTGTAGGTCAAAGACGAACATTGGAGTGCTGGAAAAACATCGAAACATTATATCAGAGAGGGAAATATGACTTTCAGTATACCGCATGAGACACAACATGTCTATAAAATTTAAACAAGAACACTTACTTGTTAGAGTCTACAGAGAGAAAGACTCTCAGTGTAAAGGTATGACCTGTTGCCATAAAGAACAAATTGGTTTCGTAACATAAAGCAGAACTTTATTTCTATGATCCACCTGTTTCCAGACACCGATGCCTAATCAGGGCCAGTCAGAGAAAATGTATGGACATCAAACAGAAGGTTGCTTCACACCATTTCTCCTCATTATTAACTTGTGGAACACTACCGGAAAAAAGATCATGCAATGAGATATTTCTAAGAGTTGGAACTGGGTACCTGCAGGTCTTGTTTAAATATTGAGAAGAAAGAGAGCGTGTGCATGTGTCTGTGAAAGTGAGCAAAAAGTAAGTAACACTTTTATAGGTTGTAACTTTGCTAACACGTTAAAACAATTTGCGCATGCAGCATGTGGGTAACTGTTGTTTGATTTACTACGGCAGGAAGTAATATGCGTTGCTGGTGGAACTAAAAAGGATGCTCTCTCGCCATTGTTTGTAGAAGCCGTTGTAACTGATTACTTTACCTAGGTGACAGACACAATGAGTGTAAATCTGTTGTGAGTCTTCGATGCACAACATACACATGGCTAGGTGTAGAATATGTATAAAATAAGGTGCAAATTGTTAATAAATCTGACACAGAGTCATTTATGAGATGTTTGTTTACAGCTGAATAGTACTGCACACTCCTGTAAATGAAGAGGCAGAGCTACCAGGATTCAAGGTTTTCATCCAAGTTGTTAATTACAAAAGTGCATATTTTGCAGACTTTTTATGTGATTAATAGACTTGATGCATCACATTTATATAGCGACAAGGACCTCAGTTCATTTGGGAATAGCTAATGACATCTCTGACAGTTTCACAGGATAGATGAGCCTCAGCAAAAGCAGGGCTCCCACACCTCCCACCTATGTGGTAGAGTTTACGAAAAGTTGTTTTAGCCATATCTTTTTTCTCCAGAAAACAATGTCCCTTGTATCTTTAGGGTACTTTATTGCAAATCATACTTGAAAGCCCTATCTCTAATAATGGGCTGATGATTACTATCATTATTCATTCAAGCAGCCTGTGTTGGCAAGTCGTGGGAGGCACTTTGGATTAGTCAAATAAAGTCAGGAAATGATGCTGGGCCATGATGGCTATAAGGAGGTAATAAAGACTAATATGCAATACAAAAAGCTTGTAGGACTGATAATTACCTTTTCCTTCTTCACTGAATAGACACAGATAGATATTTTTAAGCGAATTAGTAGAGTTGCTAAGGATGATGACATAAAGATTTTACTTGTACTGCTACTCTATAACTAAATGCAACATATGTTTCCTGTTAAACAAAAGAATGTCTCATATATTTTCCTTCAGCTAGAAGAAGAATGAGGATGAATGATATTATTATCATGTCGTCTTCAGTTTCCTGCTGTTAGGCGACAGAAGTGTCATGAGGTGTGTTCTTCTGCTGCTGTAGCCCATCTGCATCAACTGCAAATAACTTGGTTGTGACGGGTGAGTGATTGTTTGAGTTACTGTTCGTTCTTCTGGCATCAACAAGGCATCACTTGATATTTTTCAAATTATTCTCCGTAAAGCCCAGTAGATCAGACACAGTGTGTAAAGTGTCTACAGTGCAAATGATGTCATATTTACAGCTGGTGCAAGTATCTTTCACAGTATTACTTTGTTTGAGTCTTACTTGATGGTATGGTCCCAGATTTTGACAGTCCAGTCTGAACTACAAGAGACGAAAACCTTTGGATGGAAGTAGTTCCACTTTACGGTATCCACCGCCATGCTGTGGGCACCGTAGGTCTCCAGAAACTGGCTTGAGTAAGTCTTAGAGCACTGAGAAAAGAAGGCAAAGTCTTAATTTGGGCCACATATACGGTATAAATAAAATGTAGTATTTTCATTGTCTGACATCACCAACTTCAGATACCAAAGTTTGAATAACAAGACTGTGCTGAAGGATTGTTGAATAGTCAGAAGACAACTACAAAACAACTTACTGCATTACTATAAAGGTATCTAATTAAAGCCAATAATTTTAATATTTTGATTTTGTTAAAATGTAAACATTTCCTTACTCAAAAGTGGTAGTTTTAAGGACTCATATACCTGATTGGTGTCTCCAATGTATTTAACATGTGAAGAGTCTGTACCTCCATGTTTGTCAAGATATTTCAACATGTCCATGACTTGAGCTACATTTCTAAAATGAAATTATGAAAAACCTAAAATTGAATATTTCTTTGAGAATATTTTACATATCTGGGTAGAGTTTTTCACTGACAGCTAATATAAAAAGTCTTTCAAGTACAATAGCTTGTTTTAATCTAGAGTAATAATTACAATTCACTTTAGCTCAACTTTGAATTACCTTTTAGATTTTCAATGTTTGGCATTGACAGAACAGAATTTAAAAAGAGCCGAATAGCAGCAGATTTATAGACAGGACAGGTTAGACAATCTGGGATAAAACCAGCTTCATAGGGTGTTGGTAAAACTGTTGAATTTCTGAGCGCTGGTAGATTGTTTGTTGACCTGCAGCTAAGTGAAAGATTTGTAATCTGTCCTCTTCTGGGGCTCTGCACCTTTGAAGCTTGAGGAGACAGAACATATTTTATCATACAGGCCATGTTTTTTTTTGGCAAGTCTGCAAAGAGAGGAAGGTGAGAAACATGGTGTACAGACCAAAATGTAGAGGATATAATTATGTATATACTTATTGTTCGTATTATAATTTGTAAAAAAAATTCAATCAAGTCAAAGTACAACACAGCCAGCTAGTACATTAAATTAATGGCTGGTTTTACTTATGGATCAGGATCAAACTCAGGATCAAATGTTAATAATTTATTATCATAAATAATTTGATTTTACAATGCTGTCTTCTGAACAACATGGGAACAAGCCTGTGTGAGTAATTACAGAGAAATGACAAATTATCCTCATACATGATCACACTGCATTCTCTTTATGGCAATGTGAGATACTTCCCACTATGTTAATTTTCATCATCTTTTGCTCTTTGCTTTAATATCTAAAGTGTTTAAACAGTTCTGTGCTAATAAATGAATATCAGGGTCCAGGAAAACTGAAAAAACAGTTTCAAACTGAGAAAACATTTTACTGATGTCCTAAAACTGTGGTTCCAAGCCAAAAAATGTTCATCTCCCACCTTCAGGGTTATGGGTTTTGAAATTATCGCATTCACAAGATTTTCAAAAAAGGTGACCTCTGACCTCTCAAACTCATAATTTTTAGTAGATGCACCTATGATATCAGTTTGAAGCTCCGACATTATGTCACCTTGTTCTCAAGTTATCACATTCACAAACTTAGGTGTCCACGCCACCTGCCCGCCTGGTGGGGTGATGACAATACTCCATCAGCCTTTTACGGGCAATGGGTAGAAACCTTCGAAACCAAAGTTAAACTGAATAAAATTATAATGAGAAAGATTGCATCAGAAAACTTGTATTTATTTTCCCTACAAAAATCAACAAGAATCATTCATTTAATTTATTTAACACTATATTTTTCACCTGGATGACTGGCCACCTGCAGTGGTTCATACCCCTGCCAGTGGAGCTCACCTCACATTCGGGGGGCAAATGTCCTATAGCAACCAAACCATGCAGGGGAACAGCATAGAGGACAGAGGAAAGAGGCAGTTAGCCCAAAACTACTTAAACTGTCTGAAGAGGACAGAGAGCCTCTTCTTAAGGAGAGACATTAACTGCTTAAAATTAAGTCTATGAAGTTCCCAATCGTCACAAAACAAATTGCATGTTCAAATGTCTAGTTGTTTACTCCTGAGCACCAAGTGTACCAAGAACAAAATGAGAAACCATGCTTCAGAACAGATAGGGGCAGATGGTGTAAAGCCATGATTATCCTTAAGGGTTGTACAGACAGACAACAGCAAGATAAACTAAATTACCACAACCTTTGATCAGAATGATAGCAGGGTGTAGCACGTATTACAATACTTTAGAATGCCTTCATCTATGCATATAAACTTTGTTTAGCAATAAGGTTTATAATCTGATTTTCATATGAATTATAATGTATGCATTATAGACGCACACAGCTATAATGTGTACGTTTACTGATTCATACCTAATGAAAACCACTGCTATGGCTCTTTAAAATAGTTAAATGAGCTGAATAATTCTAAAGCTATTTTGTCAGTTTTAGGTTAATATCTGTGTCTGAATCTGCTTTGTGGTAAGAACTGAGCAATTTTATAGTAATGGGTGTTACTTTTATGGTCAATGTAACAATACGCAATTTCCAAAGCATGGTGTTTCTAAACAATAACCATGCAAAAAGGTGATGCTTAATATGTAACCCTTTTAACATAAAAACCAAGGGAGTGCCATAAAAGATTAATGTTAATAAGAATATATTTATTTTTATTCGTTACAAAACATAATACACTGATTATTATTAATATGGCGATTAGATGAAAATTTGATTTTTACCTCTTATTATCTTGAAGTAGTTTTACTGAAACATGTTATGTGGGTTGTAAAATGGAGAATTGCCCTTTTCTAGTTTTCATCGCAACCTTTTTCCAGACCGTTGTTTACTAGCTTGTGCGCCCATCAACACCTCTCCAGTAACTGTGACCAAAGTCCTTCTCTAGTGTGATTCTGGTGAGAATCTGGAAGGAAGTGTCATTTTCATTCAACAATCATTATCTTGGAGCACTGACAAGGTTGGCACGCACACAGCTCTCTAAACAATGTTTTAAGCAGGTCACATTTACCAGTGAACAAAATCTGGCCTTTTTCTTGGATTTAGCCATGTGGCTACAAAACCTGCATGAAATCCTTGATACATACCTTGTGTATTTTTCCCTCCTCTGTTCCAACTAGGAACATGTAGTCAATCTGTTTGTGGAAGTCGAATGATGTACCAGACGCTGTGAAAAAAGAACGTTAAGGACCTTATTTAGACACGTTATTACAGACACCACCCTGATATACTAGACTGAAAGAATGTTGCATTCTTTTACCATCAATACAGTAACAACTATATTTGAGTGAAGCTTTACCAATGCTGGGAGCCTGTGCACCTTCTGTGCCCTCAGAAACTGCACCACTCAGTGTCAGTCTGATGATGTCTGTGAAAACCAGCTCATTCTGCAATCATGTAAACACACAGTGATTCTTCCTTAGATATATACAAATACAAAAGCCAAAGCAAACTGCTTTTGTGCAGTGCACATGAGAAATTTGAACCTAATTTGAGTGCAAGCTACAGATATAATACGGCAACAAAATGTATATCTCCTCGGCTAACCTTGACGAGTGTCCAGGACACAACTCGGCCATCAGACGACACAGAATAGAAATTGTGGTTGTTGTCCATATCATCACTCTGCCAGCGGACCTAGAAAAAAAAAGTACACTGTATTGGGTTGCAGTAGCATGAATGACATGAGTGAAAGTAGGTTGTTCTCAGTGCTATTTTCAGCTCTCAAAATGGCAAAATGCATAAGTGGACACAAAGTAAGCAAAGATGTGACAGAAATTAGACTGAACAGTGCACACATCCTGAATTTCTGTCACCCTATCCACCACTGTCATGCCATCCACTCGCACCTGCCAGACAGGATCTGTGTGCTTGCCAGTCTTGGCTGTACTCTTGTAAACAGGCTCCTGTCCCTCCTCCTTCAAGCTGTAGACAGCCACACAGCCATCGTAGAAGCCCACTGCCACCAGGTGGGAATGCTGTGCATGAATGTCGAGGCACATGACACCAGAACTGGTGGGGTAGATGTACTCTGGGAAGGCAGGGTTTTTCAGCGAGTAGAAGAGAAGCATGCCACATCCCTGTCTACTGAAGTTGTCTGGCCAAGAGAGGGACACAAGTGAGTGGTTTGCAAAAAAAGATAGATTATTAATTTACAGCATTTGTTTAAAAAAGAAAGAAAACACAATTTAGATAAATTTAAGTTGTCTAAGACGGTGACAGATGAGGTGCTTACTAACAGCTCTCTGCCTTTGAACTTACATGATCCCAATCCCACAGCAAAAAGGTCCTGATATTTATTATTCCTGTTAAGGACAGGTGACTCAGTATCATGCCAGCAGAGGAAACAAACAATCATTGAAATCCAGTCATCTCTCTGAGGTAACGTTCTAGAGCCAGTGAGTCAACCTACCAGCAGAGGGCAGTGACAGACAGTGTCTTGGCTTTGTCATATTGAAACTTCCACAAGGGGAGAAGGGTTCCCTCCTGCTCCCTAAACTCATCAGAGGCATCCTCAAAGTATTTAAAATCTGAAACGGTATAGAAGGAGAGAAATTAGAGGAGAAGAAAAGAGATGAGAATGTCCTTGCTTGATTATGAAATCAGGCTGTAGTTCATTGTTCTTTATCTGTTATGTACGATAACAAAACAAACCTTGTGCTATGTCATCAAATGTATTCTGACTGATCGTTCGTTCAAGGATCTTTGATGCCATGGTCCATTTGGTGACATCTTCACTCTATAACAGAAATGTGACATTACACTGGATGAAAACATTGCAAAAGCATGCAATAAACAATAAACATGACTATTATGAGAACATAAAAATTATGGTGTCATTTAGTGATTTTGTTTTATGAGTAGCTCAGTGAAAACCCTTAGTAATGCATTAATATGGTGTTATATACATGGTTTGTATGGCAGCAAGATAAAGCAACTTTTGTCTGCTCCTTTATTCCCAAAGGGTTACCGTGGCAGCGGATGCCCTTCCTGAAAAAATCCCTAAGGACCTTGTGTCACCTCCCAGATTTTTTGATTGTTAAATGAATGTGTAAACCATATTAAATGTAAATGTGCTAAAATACAAATATTAGATGCATGTTGAGTTTAGGCTGTAAAGTTTTTCAGTCGTCAACTTACCTGAGTCTCCATCAGCATCACCTTTTTGCTTTTGCCATTATCTTTTTGTGAGTGCATGCCTTTCTGCTTCTCTTTGTTTTTCTCTTGTTTCTGCAGCTCCTGCACGTATGCATCATAGATCTCCCACTGCCAATAACAGAGTTATTAGCATCAAATGATAGGGGAACAAATATTCGCTGATGCTCAACAGAGAGAAAACAAATGTGGCCTAAACATATCCTTTGATCACATCAGGGAATCCAGTACCTGATTAGCAGTAGCAGAGAAGCTGCTTCGTGGAGGAGGTTCAGTCTGGCAGATTCTATCCTGCAAGGAAATTAAGAATGACTTCACTGAAACTTTTGAGTTTATGTTAATCTCTCTATCTACTCATTGAAACTGTTTTTAATGCACTTTATTATTAAAAGCAAATACTTCAACCATTGCACAAAATACTGGCTTTGCCTCTCCTACCTACCCTCATTGGATTATTGAGAGTCTGAGAGGCTCGATTACTGAAGTTAAACTGGTTAGTCACTTTTGGCTCTTTCTTGTTGATTCTGGAGACAGCACTGTCTGGTCTGTCCTCATCGCCAGTTTCCTCTACATCCCCTCCATCCACTATAGGATTAACCTGTGGAAAACCAACAAACAGACATTTGTAGCGCAAGTCAAACTTTGACTAATTTACGCTTTAAAGAGTTAAGTTTAGGAAAAGATTTATTTTATAAAAATTTTTCACCGAGGCTTCTGCTTTCTCCTCTTCAGACTCTGCTGTGGCATCAACTGTTGCAATCTCTAGACACATAAAAAAATCTATTATATCTCTGATATCTCACTATTGGGATCTCACTTTTTGCGAAACAGGGTATTTCTCACATTTTATGTTGCAAGGCAAAAGCGACACCTTGAGGCATCAAGTGTCAACTACAACAGAGGGGAAAATATAACACTACAGGCAACAAAAACAAATTCTGAGAATAAATCATTAGTTTTTGGGTTTGTTTGTTTTTTTGACTACAGAGTGAAAGCCTTAAGCAACCCTCATTTCTTTATATTTTGTTTTTCAATGAGCCAGACTTTCTTATAAGTTTTTAAATTGGTTTTAAGCAATATTTTCCAAAAGAGGTATGAGCTAAAAACTTGCCATATCTCAGCATAGTGTGCAGTGTGTCCTTAAAAAATCAGAGAAAACTGGACAAGTGGAAAGTGTCAAGAAGCCATTTTAACAACACAAGGGAACTGGGGAGCAACTTATACAAGAACTGCATTAAAAATCAGTGGAAACAGGTTTTATAGAGTAATGAATCCCAGTTTTAAAGTTTTTGGTGACATCGTCATCACTATGTATGATGATATGTATGTATGAAGTCCATTACTATACTGTACTAAATACAGTATTGTTTTTACTACAGCTACTACTACTACTGCTATATTTACTATATGTATATAATGTATTTCCATTTCCTTTTCAATAAATGTTCAATTAATGTCTTTTTCCCCTTGCAAAATATAAAGAAATACAGGGTGGTTAAAGACTTTTTGACTTATCTTATATATCATATATATAAAGTAGAGCAAAATCTATACATATTATCCTCTATTGTAGGATGTTTCAGTAAATACCTTGAGCTAAGCCTTCCTTGACCCTAAGTTTACGAGCCTCTTCAGAGTCTTGATGCACAAGGCTGCCCTCTAAAACACAGTGAACCGCCATCTGATCCACAACATTGATAGGCTTGTAGGAACGCTCCTGAGAGAAACCCGAAAGAAAAATATCACGAAATGTGCTTGTTTAGTCTGGTTATAAATTAAAAGAGAGAGGAGAAGCGAATGCATGGGGACTACCTGCATAGATTGTATCAAATTATTTGAGATGAAACAAATAACATTTGCGGCAAACAAGTTATTCTTATGCTAAACGTAAGAGGCTCACAGTGAAGCAATTATCAGTCTACAGTCCACATCTTAATCTGTATTTTGTATACTTTCATTGCATCTATAAATGGTGATTTTGATTTTTCCATCTGGATCTAGCTTCTTTACCTTGACACTGTAGCGGACAATATTTTGAGGGGCGTGTGGGTTGTTTGCAGTCAAAATCCTTGTGATGTCCTCCTTCAGCTCCTATTCATTATCAACATAGAGAGATCCTTAACACAAGGACAATTAATTTAATTATAGCTAACAATTTTAATATAGGCACTGAATGATAAAGAACAGCATCAAAGTCTGCGCAAATTTCTTCAGTTCAGCCCACATGGTTGTCTTAAACCTGAGAAATTAGTATTTCCATCCTTCTCTTACAGCCTCAGTAAGCTCCATCTGATCTGGAGGCCTCACAAGGGCTTTCCCCTGAGACCACTCCTCCCATCCAGTCCCCGTCTCCACAGCCTCTTCCTCATCCTGTAACGTTGCATAGAGTAGACATTTATGAATAAAAATCACATTATGTTATGATATAGTATATTCATCACTCTTCTCTTTCCGTCACCCAAACGCCAAAACCTATCCAATAAACACACCCACCTTTTTCTTAGTGGCAGCTTTCGTTGACTTTGCTCCAGGTACCTTCTGAACGTTTGACCCCTGTGCGAAAATAACCAACAATCAACTATACGGTGGGTTATATTACAGTAGGTCCTTAACAATTGCTTTACTTATCCGTGAAGCTACACCATGAATATTCTAGTTAGCTAATTCAGGCCAGCTAAACTGAGCTGACGTTTACCTTCCTTGCAAACGCTGCGTTGTTGTTAGGCACCGGCATTTTCAATTTGATTTTTAAAGCTAGTTTAGAAAGTTCGAAAGAAAAAAGGGAAAAACAAAACAAAATTAAACGAGTTAAAAGCTAAAAAAAAAAAAGAATAGAAAAGAAAGAAAGAACAAGGGGCTGTCTGCTAGTAGCCTGCTGCTGTATATAGGTTGTCAAGACAACCAGTTTTGGTTGGCGCAGAGCCGGAGACTGCTGGATGCGTTCAGCCTCAGACAACAGTTGAACATTTTTATTATTGAACTATTTTAGCAGTATTATTCTAATTTTATCAGCTAAAGGAAAAAAAAATGTGGTCTGAATGCTTTTGACATAACTATACTAAATAAGGAGAGTTTATTATGGAAAGGAAACAAGTGTATTTTTATATTAAATTAAAAAAAATCAAACAAACCCCCTTCCCCCTCCAAAATCCCCCCAAAACAAAACAAAACAAAAAACACAAAAACGGACGTATGCTTGTCTTTGCAATTCTAACTGAAAAAACGAATTTGGTTCACGGCGCATTTCCAGTGGGGATCTCATCTCTGATTGGACGGTTTTGCCTGAATAATTTATAGACCCGGAAGTGGGGCGGTACTGCTGTTTTGCTGTCGAGTCACCTCTGTCAGGATGGAAGAAAACGAGCAGCTATCATGCTGATTAACGAAGGATGCCGACTGCCGACCACCATAAACCTGGCATAGTTCGAGTACATTCGACGTACAGCTTAAACCCCTGCATCGTTTTCTGCGACGCTTTGGCAAAATGATGGAAGAAATCGACAGGTTCCAAGTGCCTCCAGTTAACGGAGAGACACAGCCTCTGGTAAGAGACGAAAGACAAATCCCCCCACCCAAAAAACAAAATACAAATCTCATGCAAATCAATTTATAATGTAGGCAAAAGGGCAAGTTTTAGTGTCGCCTGTGTGTTTTTATAGTGATAGCCGTGTCATGTAATCTGCCTCTGAGCTAGCCGATAAAAATTTGGAGCTCTGGGACAAGCTGGCTCTGTGGGATGGGTGTAAATCGACCATCTATAGATGGAAAGGAAAGGAACGCGTCTGTTGGTTTCTCTGTACGATAAATATATTAGCATTACATGTAATAAATGATAGATGAACAAGCCGTTACTTTTTTCTCTCAAAGCAATTAAACTGCGCACTTTGCAGAAATCGTGATTCTTTCAAATTCACGTCAGTATGCGCTTGTTTACATCAATAGCTGACACAGCTCACTGTTTTCACATTTCGTCATTTGGTGACGTCTTATTTGGGTCGGGATGGGTGAGTCCAAATGATCGCGTGAATCCATACCCATACTGCGGACTGAAGTGTGGTAATAGTTGGCTCGAGCAGGCCCAAAGTAAGAGGATAGTCCCTGCATATTTTACCCACTGACAAGTTTCGAGACCTGTCAGAAAAAATTGAAATGGATTTACTTCAGCACCAGCAACTCACGTCATTACCGTTTCCTTCTGCTTATAATGTTTCTCTCTCTCTAGATTTGAAATAAGTCGTGGTCACTATTGACAAATTGAACAACTGGCCTCATTCCCTGCGTTCAGTTTTGCGTTCATTTTTAAGTGCTTTTATATCAACAGTACATCACTGCCAGATATTACTAACACAGAAGCCTTCTTCTTCACATGTGAAACAAAGCAGCCTCAAACAGCTGCCCTTTTTTCTTTTTTTTTCTTTTTAAGCGTCTGCCTCAGGGGGTTAGGCAAAAGCAGTGCTCCAAGTCATACTGTTCACATTATACCCGTGCTTTTCCAGCCTTACTACCCCTGAGGAAATCACACAAGAACAGGCTTCCCTCACAAAGTCTCGTTTGCTTTGTGCAGCAGCGATCACCTTGCTGTGTTAAGATCAGATCCGTCTGCACTCGTGTTTGATCCAGAGAGGTTTCCTTGTGAAGCTGAATCAGAGATGGCCCTGCTTAGGCTGTGCATACAGTGGCGTTGGTCAGCACGTGCCCTAAAAGTCTTGAAATCACATTGTGTATTCCTTTTCATCTTTCAACTGTAAAAGGCGATGTGGGTTTAAAAATATTATTTTATAGTTCAGCTCACGATCTCAGCCACTGAGCCACATATGGCTGTGCATTTTAATGCTAATAACTTCATTGTGAATGGGATGCTTGAATGCTCATGGCACCTGCCTCTTTGTCAGGACTCTGTTTCACACAAATAAATCAGATTAATACTCAAGTTTGAGCTGTTTAATTCCTTTTCTATATGATATTTTTTCTTTCAGTGGGAAAAAAAGCAACTTCCCTGAGAACTTCCCTTTTATGCTCTTCAGCACAAGAACATCTGACAGTGATTACTGTAGGCTACATCTATTTATGGAAGATTTCCCTGCAACGCACTGAGACAGCAATATAGTCATCACTGCCTTGCATAAGGAAAGCATTCAGTTGTTTTAAAGGCCACCTGATGTATCAGTCTTAGCTGCTATTGGCTAGTGGATGGCCGTGATGCATAATCCTAGCAATCGCTTGGTGCTTATGCCGTGTCAGCAACCTTGTGACACTTCATCATCACAGGTAGAAAAGAGGTTGCAAGCAGGACGACAGAGTGAATGAATGTGTATGCGAATGCATGATGAAGGTCAGGCCGATGGCCCATGTTTTATTGTCATACATATAAATAAATATAGTGTCATAGATCATCCTTTAATCTTTCATCAGTAGTTGTCAGCAGTCAATACAGGGTCTTTGGGGAATATCTATGCTCTTAATGCATGTTTTATAAGGTCTAGTTCAATTTAATATCATCTCATTGCATCTCATTGCCACCTAATATCCTCCACAATGGCTTGATTATCATTTGGGTTTGGAAATGTTAAATTCAATTCTTTGGGCCAACTTTCTACCTAATACAAGGTGTTCTGGGTTGTCATATTCCAGGGCCTGTTTTAACTTGCTTATCGTGGGTACCTGCTACTTGCCGTCTGTAATTGTGCTGTCCTATTTTTTAAGAAGTGGCAGGAATTTCTGTCACAAACAGCTTAATACCGAATCCTATTCATTATTCACTGGCAGGCTCTGCTGAAAAATTTCAAAAGGATTTATTTGACAGGCGGTGTGACCGTACAACATCACAGCATCTTTCTGTAGTGGAAGGAAAGCACGAAGAAGCAAAGTAAAAATCCAGTGGGTAAGCCTGAGGACGGGCCTGTCACAGAACAGAAGATATTTGTGCTTGTTATGGTGGGAATACCTCATCTGTGTGCTGTGATTTCACAACCTCCTTTAATGTGTGTATTGTATCCACTATTGCAGTTTTCATGATTTTTTTTTTTTTGGTTTTAATGGTTGCGCTGCTGAAAATGCACACACAAACTGCTCTGTTTTACAGTTGTTTGGAATTTGGATCTAACATACATTGCGGGTGGCTCCGTAGCACATTGGGTTGCACTTGTTTCACATTTGTCTAATATGTGAAAGATCCCTGGTTTGATCCTGGGAGGAGACACAAATCCCGTTTGGAGTTGTGTCAGGAAGGGCATCCAGTGTAAAAACTCCTCAATCAAACATGCAGAGCTACCTGCTATGGGTCACTTGTTGAAAATAGCTTTTTATCTTTCAGCTTATCTTTTTCTTGAGGTCATAATTGTAACTTGTCAGAGGACAGAGCTGCTGTTTGTCTTTCTGTAGATGCTCTATTGAAAGTGCACTGGCATGCTACATCCCAGTGAGGTTTGCCAGCTGCACTGCTCAGGAAAAGACAGCAATCCAGAGAGTCGTCAACACAGCACAGAAGATCATCGACTTTGCTCTACTGTCCTTGGAGCTCTACATGTCCAACTGGCACAGAGTGCATAATATATAAATAAAATGCAGACGTGTTTACTGTAAATGCAAAACTGTTCGCTGTATATAATTTGTAGATGAATACTGTGCTCCTTAAATGAGGCACAATAGGTTTATCTTATCTAATGTTACATAATTGCCAGCACTGTCTGCTTACTCAGCTTTTTTCACCCATAAACAGACTGATATGTAACTGCAAAGCATCTCTTTTATTATTCAGCAATTCTAAAAATATTAACCCATTACATTTTGGTGCGGTTCTGGTTTGCATTCTTTACAATTGCAAAACGCAGCATCATGTCCTCTCCGAGAGGAACAGTAATCTATTTACTGTCTCTGCTAAATGATTACAGATCAGCTCTATTTGTCTTTTAGAATTGACCTGAACTGGTATAGTACTGTAAGTGTTTTAGCCATCCACCACTACTTATTCATTTTAAATTGTCATAGCATATTCAGACAGGGAGCATACGCTATTTCAGACACCACTGGTATGAATTTTGTAACTTAAAGTGTCAAATTTCAGCTCCAGATATTTATTTGCTTAAAGCCTTTTTTAAATATAGCACCCGTTTCTCTGGAGAGTATTCAAAGTTATCGAAAGCCAAATGCCTGGTAGCCTTCGTTCATGTGGCCCGCTGAGTCCCACACAGCGCAACAAGGGGAGGCCTGTGGGATCAACATAATGTGCAGCTCTGTGAGGAGAGGAGGCCAAGTGCGGCCTAGCTCCCCTCTCTCAATCTGGTGAAAGCGTGGCTTCAACAGCAACCCCCTCTGTTCTCCCACAGCCAACTCCCCATGCAATCACCACTTGCTCACACATGAAAGAGAGAGCTGCTAACATAGGCCGAACACTCAAGCCTATTGATGCTACAATCCAAGCAGCGATAGAAGGCTGCAGGAAACTTTCCAGGGTGCTTTACCCGAGTAGGTTCTAAAGCAGGCTGATTTGCCAGCTTTGTTGGTTAGTAATAAATCAGACAATCACTCTCGTCTGAGTGAGTTGACTGGACTTTGTTCAGTCTCACATACCTCTACAGTAAAGAGTTAAATGCCAGTTGTAAATAAAGAAACACAACCTAACACATCTTTCTTTTTCTCTAGGACCCCGCAGCATCTTCCACCTCAGAGGCAGAGCCTGACACTAAGGGAGAAAGTGTGGCCATGAACTACAAGCCCTCGCCGCTGCAGGTCCAAATAGGTATTGTAGTCAACACACTGCAAATCAATGCATGACATGTCTTCATGTTTATCATTTAGAAATCAATTACCTTTGCTGTGGGATACCACAGTATGCAGGTTTGCTTTGCTGTGTCATCCAAAGTCAACATGAGGCCATAAACATCAAGCACCATGTGATATTTCTTATCTATACTGGATGTCAATGAAATTATTTTCCT